AAACCCCAGAAATTCGTTGATAACCAGGTCTACACAAGCACTGATATGAACCAATAGTGTTAAGGCAGTACTGAGTTGTTAGATCGCATGGATTTGAAGTTGCACATTCGTCGATATCTAAATATGTTTCATATTTATTGAATTTCCATTGAAATTTTCTTATGATTGAGAGCTTAAAAATATGTCCAACCTATGCAGACGGTGTTATTGATTGGATTAGTTGGATGTTGGTAGCCAGTTTTGCAGTTGCATTCGTAATCTCCATTCCCAACTATACAACTGGAAATCGTGTTGTTGCATAAGTTTGGAAAAACATTGCACACACTGTTGACTGTAAATAAATTAAATTAGACGGAACTTATTTCCAAAATATTTGCAAATGTTTAAAGTTCCATACCCAGCTGACAGTAATCGTTGTAGAAATATTTCATGTAGCCAATCCTACAAACGCATTCCGTCATGACGGTCGATCCAATTTGGAATGAGGAGCATGGGTGGATGCCACAATCACCGTTGTTGACGTTGCAATCTTCAATTTTCCGAAAATAAATTCTATAAAAATTTAGTAATAAGCTCGCCTAAAAATTATTTAAAAGTCTTCCTACTAAATAACTGCAGTAGTAATTTTTTGACAATTACTTCTCAGATCACAGGCAGGTCCATACCATCCAGGCAGACAACTTGACGGATTACACGTCATATCTGGTGTCAGACTGTTTGGAGTGGTACAATGGTGGACTTGTGAGCAGCTTTGTCTTGTCCCGAGTTTGTTGCAAACTGATTGGTTGACGGTAACAATTGAGTTATTAAATATTTTATAATCTTGAAGAGATTAATAGTTTGTTTGATTTCTCAATGTCAAAAATTTAAAAACAACTAAAATAAAAAGTGCCAACGTGAATAGATGTTGTTGCTTGAGGGTCCTCCGCAATATTCTGTCAATGGCAGTCCCCCGCATGCTGAATTGCAAACATTATCTAAGACCTTTCCATGCTTTCCGTAAGAGTCTCCACAATAACAAAATGTGCTGCTCTAGTCGTAGTAATTTAAAAAAATTTTAATTCCAATTCTCTTTTCATTATTTTACAGGAGTATCATCCCAAAACACACAACACATGTGAATCAACTCAACACACACACTCTACATGTGTGATGGGAAGGAATCTACCTGCATTCGAACCTGGCCATTGCAACAGCGGATCATTGAGCGGCAACAACAACAACAACAGTTCAAGGTGCTTAAACCATTACATTATCACGTGGCTACCTATACACTATTTTATTATGAAATAACTTATTTTTGAAACCTGCACTCCAGCATACGAGAAGCCGTTTACTAAGCAGTAAGTTATGCACGTTTCAATTGTCATTCCTGGCAAGTTTTCTGATTTGAGGTTGAGATCCTTGTCGGCGTTGGCTCCCACATCCTGATAGCATCCCATATATCCCGGGGTGGGTTGTGCTGATGAACATTTATTTGGTGAGATCGATAAATTTTGAGTTAAATACCACAAACAAATTAATAATATAAATTAGAGAATTAATTTTTGTTGTAAATTCAATTCATGCGACATCATCCTACTTGAATAAACAGCGTTCAGATCAGTCTCGTCGCAGATTCCAGTGACTGAGTTGCAGTAGGAGAAGCAAGAGGAGGATGGATAGAGATCCGTTGGAGTGACTGCCGCACAAAAACACCAATGTCTTTCCTTTCCGCATTGATTTTTAAAATATCAAATTAGATACACATATTTAAGAGACATAAATGTGTGCGTGTGTTTGTACTCAAAGATTTTATATTTATCAGATGTCGTTAGTTCGTACCCTGATGGTAGCGTATGGATAGTTCAATTCCTTACACAATGTGATGCATATATCAAGGGAGGATTCGTGGAAGGTAGCCTGCTTTTGAAAGGTCCTGAAACAACCGACATACTTGTACACAGTATTTTCTAACGGAAAAAAATATTTATCGACAAATTAAAAATAAAAAATTGTTTAAAAAAATACTTAACCAGATCCGTAGACTTCCAGTTCAGAAAATGTCATCGTATTAGCGCTAGTAGCTTTAGTAGTTGATTGTTGGACAATCACGTATCTGTAGGTGTTACTTCCGTAGTTACAATCAACTCTCAGCGGTTGGGCTGAGTCGCTATAAGTTATTGGTCCAGTGGTGCAATTATCGTAGGTCCCTCGTATCGCACCAGGTGAGTTTTGATTCACCGTGTTTGATAACCCAACAATGAAGCCTTCCATGCCTTTAAATAAATGACATTAATTAAAAATTAATTATCAACAGTTGCCAACAGCACATTTATTTTACAAACTTTGATCAACTGTGTATAAAACAGCGTACAAAACTTGATAATTTCGTGTCAAATCAACTATGAACCAGTTCTTAACGGGTGCTGTTTCGGTCCCCAATTTACAGAAATTGCTACTTCCTTTGATTCCGTCAACACAATTGTATGCGATGTTTGATGAAAAAGGTGTGCTCATATAGGCAGGCTTCTTGAGTGCCACATTTTCATATTGCAAAAAATTTTCTGCAAATTGATCAAGAAGTTACAAGTATTTTATTTAATTTCTTTTTGTATAATTATTAACTTTATTAAAGTAATTACGACGAAACCAACCGTTGGTATAAACTTCCAACTCGAGGAGTTGGACCGCTTTATCATTTGTGTTGCCGCTAGCCAGGGATTGCTCATACTGCAAGGATTGCTGTATAATAACGAACCTGTAAAATTTTTCTTGGTCAACGCAGTTCACACTCATTACTTGACTAGCTGTTGTAACTTCTACCGGCCACTGCCCACACAAGTCATAATTTCCTCGAATTGTTGCTGTCGAGTTTACAGTTGCATCAAAATAATTTGTCAGTCCGACGATGAAGTAGTTCATACGGTTATCTAGAACGTTTCAATTGTGTGCAAATTTAATTTCAATTTTTTTATGATTTTTACACTTAACAGCAAACTCACGACAAGATCCAACACAAACTGCCCCATCCACCCTGTTGAAGACCGTAACAAACTTGGCCTGGTACGCATTCACGAGATCAACCACAAACCACCCTGAATATGAAAAAGTAGCTCCATCAGAACGAGCAAAGTTGGTTAGGCTGGTTTTATCTCCGTCAACTCCGTAACGGGCAAAGTATGATTGGGAAGTAGAGGAGAGGACAGCAGGTTTTTTAAGCGCCACATTTACGTACACCGCTGGTGAATAAAAATTAAATTTTGATTAAATTTTTTTACTTTTGAATTTTTTTTTAATTATTCCGACTGTTAAGTTATTTGTACGACAAAAAATTTCAAACTCTACCTTCAAGTGCCATGAAGAAATTCATAAACAAAATTATTGCGGATAAATGTTTAAGTTTCATATTTTTTAAATTCAGAATTTTGCATTAACCGTTTAAAAGCTTTGCTACTTATCACTGTAAACTTTAAAACTAACAGAGATAATTAATTTGAAAAAAAATTTTATCAAGACCTTCCGTCTTTACAAGATTGACAGTGTGCATGCAACATTAGAACGATAAAATAGCGAGGTTCCACCGTAACACCATATAAACCTCAGTTAACAGCACGCATTCAACAGGTAGTTTGTTAGCTAGATAGATATGCAAGATAGCTAGTTGCACGGGTAGGTACTGGCGAGAGAGTAGCAGCCAGACAAAAACCAAGGAGGTTCTTGCTCATAGAGCTTCTTCATAGGTGTCATTATGTTTGTGCAACAAGCGTGAGATTCAGACATCGAAAATCGAATCTTATTATAAAAAATCTAGTCACTAAATTTAATACATGGCAATATGTTGTACATAGTTGTAGAGGCAGCAAATAGTTGCACAAGAATTCTTCAAATTCATCCAGCCAAAGCCACATTATAGAGCTGGTAGCTCACGAAAGTCTGTTTAGGATCCCGTTGGCAAAGCTTGCTAAGCTAGTAAATAAATAAATTTTAACTCTACAATCTAATAGCTATCTGTTTATAATGTTGGTGTACATATGTACGAGTGTAATTCATAAACTTGGTCGGTTGGTGCAAGCTAACATTATCACACTAAAGAATCAAACCAACCCAAGCGTATCGAGTCTTAAATTTAAAGATATTAAAAAATATAAAAATTAAAAATATAACGCAGCCTGTTGTTGTTCTGTAAGATTGTGCGTACCTGGTATGAAAATACATGGCGTGCATAATGAAAAGTTTGAATTTAAAAAAATTTTCATGGAAGAAGATTGTGCACACATGCATGCACACTCAAGAATCAATCATTCCTTTCTTAGACTTCCATCAAAACTCAGTTTCGAACTGCCTGACTATATGTTATCCTCTTTACCATTAGGTATTGCAAACGTTAGCTTAATACTTGACAATAATTTTATGTTATTAGTTTGTTTCATTCTTAAGTGAGTCTCTATTTCTACACTGTATCATAACAGGCACAAGAACTACGTGAACATTTGTACAGCACGTCATACACTTGAAAGCAACATTGCTTCGAAGTCTTGCACAATCAGTGTTTGAATAGAGCAAGCATTCTGCTTTTGTTCGTCAAAACAATGCATCTAGTCTAACTACTCTCGTTTTTACGCAGCTATCTTGCTGCCTAATACTCTCACCTTCCGATCTGTCTTACCACCTAAACTCCGTCGTCTTGCTTGAATGTGAAAAGTTTTTCTTATTTTTATTTTCAAATGTTATGTCATGTTATAAAAAATACTTGTTAGTAATTCTACAACAGCTCTACCACTCGCTATTATTTATTACTTCCAAGCATAATTTTTGATTGAGTTTAAATTATTTTAATTTCGCCTAAAAATTTTGATTTAAAACATTTTTTCATTTATTAATAAAACGCTGACAAGTTATAGGTTCGACTTTCATAAATTGTTGGTTACTTTATTTTTTCTTCGACCATTTACACATGCATACCTGCTCTACTTGCGTACAAGCCACATTGTGTTGTTGTTTCTCTTAAAGTTCGGGCATTTAGCTCTTTTTTAGCAGGTGTGCAATCTCATTTAAATGACAAAAGATAGTTTAACCACTAAAACTAGGATTCAGTTAGTTGCTAAATTAGATAATGCGGAGAGATATGCAGAGAGAGGGAGAGAGATAGAAAAAGAAAGAGTGAAACCGATAAATTTGATTGATACCTGTGTGTGTATGTATGTGTGTGTGTATATATGTTGTCTAACTAGTGTTTAAAGATCTAGCTAAGAATCTACATGTTGTAATTTTCATCAAAAATTGCATATATTTATATAGCAAAATTTTATATTTTGTGTGTTTCCTTATTGGTTAATAGTGCCTGTGTGTATGTGTGTGCGTGCGTGCACGTAATAGTGTGTATGTATGTGTGAATGCTTAAAGATTTGAGCTACATTTTTAAAGAGCTGGCTAAGAAGTTTGAAACGTGACTAGCCCCATAGCGAAAATGGTTTTTATATCAAAATAGTGAAATACTGTGTAAAGATATGCGTGGCTTTTGAATAAATTTAGAGATTTATGAGCATTCCTGTAAAGGAAATTTTTATTTTAATTTCAACCAAAATGACTAATGTTTGAAAAATGTAATAACGCAGTTTGTAAAAATATCATGCACTGTGTAACATAACATAACATGATATAAATTGGCAGCAAACGTTGTATGAATGCACTGCTAGTATTGTAACACGCCGAATTGTAGAGAACAACAATATATGAATGAATGAATGAATTAGTGAGTGAGTGAGTGAGTGAGTGAGTGAGTGAGTGAGTGAGTGAGTGAGTGAGTGAGTGAGTGAGTGAGTGAGTGAGTGAGTGAGTGAGTGAGTGAGTGAGTGAGTGAGTGAGTGAGTGAGTGAGTGAGTGAGTGAGTGAGTGAGTGAGTGAGTGAGTGAGTGAGTGAGTGAGTGAGTGAGTGAGTGAGTGAGTGAGTGAGTGAGTGAGTGAGTGAACGAACGAACGAACGAATGAATGAATGAATGAATGTAGTTTGAATAGATGTTGTTTGCTTGCTTTTAGAATATCATTCATGTTCATTTGTTCACTTGTTTGTTACAAGTTAAGCCGTGATGGATTGACACACGTACAACTAACTATTGATGTAGACTTTTTCAACTTTTATTGAAATTCAAATTTCCATAAATTTTGATTATTAATTCTCCATTAAGAACCAATCAACAATCATAAATCGTGTGTTTGTGTGTGTATGCTTTTGTGTGTGTGTTTGTGTTTATAAAACAATTAAAAAACAGAAAATATTTTAATAACGTGATTTATCGAACTAAGCTCAACATTAACACGATAACTTTAACATCAAAAGCATTACAATTGAAAGCACTGTACGAACATCATGTATGTACTATGTAATTGCATAGAGAGTTTTAATAAAATAAGTGCTTGTGTGTTTGTGTGTGTATTTGTCTGTGTGTATGTGTGCCTGCGTGTGTGTTTGTGCGTGTGTTTGCGTGTATGTGTGTGCGTGCCTGCGTGTGTGTATGAGTGTGTGTCAATATTATTAGAATTAAATAAGTTCATACAACAAATTTAATTTTAAAAACTTGTCTATTTCTCTATCTAGATTGAAAAACAGAAAACATGTACACCAAAATGGGACGAATTCAGACACACAATCAAATCAAGTTCGCTGTTAGGTCAGGGTTAGCAGGATCCATTATGTAGAATTTGCTGACAGCCAGCTGGTAAGAAAGGAAGCCAGTCAGCGCTAGTATACCCGCCACTGATAGCCCAATGAACACGAATAAGGCATTTTTCTCTTGAGATACTGAAAGATGAATAATAATTGAAACGTGAAATTTTTTGAATAATAATTGAAACGTGAAATTTTTTGAAGTAAAATATTTTTTGAAGTTATATCATATATATTATCTACTAAATTTTTAAATGGGTTATTGAGTATGAGAGACTGTGCGATCTATTTGAATTTGAATTCGGTTACATCTATCTACTCAAGACCAGACAACTCTAACCATTTCACCATAGTGCCAGACAAATATTTTACCAAATAAACTGTTTCAAAAATACATGACTCCAAACAAACACCTTCTCTAGAGGTTGATGATGTGTTTATGAAAACTAGAACAGCTCCAACCAATAAAAAAAAAAAAAAAAAAACCTTCACAACTCCATTGATCTCTATTGAAGTAACCACTACGACACGAGCAGATGTAGGTTCCTAACTGGTTCACACACGTGGAAGTAGCTGTGTTACATGCACTTGCATTGTTCACGCATTCGTTCACGTCTGTTGTGTGGAGTGTAGTTGGTGAAAAAAGATTAATGTCAGACTGTAGAAATTGCTTTCTAAAATTTTTTTTAACAAATTTGTATTTTAAATATGTTGGTTTGTGGCTTTTAAAGACTTCAAATTGGGGTTTTTAGTTCGGGAATGGTAGGTTTTGTTAAATTTTATGTTTTATATTAAAACATTATGATTTATAATATACATTTATTTTTCTTTGGACCAAACGTTCTTTGCTTTGTATGTAACTTCACTTTTTCTTTTTCTGTTGATCCGGTGGATAATAAATAACTCGAGAACGTTGCTTAGTTTATTTCTCTTCTTTTAATGCCTTTCAATATTATATCAATTAATTAAACGAACTACGTAACAAGAAATTTAAGAGGTTTTATTTTGGGAAAGTTTGTTGTTAACACGACCAACCTTCACAAATCCATGGACTTTTATTATAGAAGCCATTCTTGCAGGTGCAGCCGAACGATCCAAGTTGGTTGATGCATGTGGATGTTTCATTGTCACACACGTTTGATGTCACCAAGCATTCATTAATATCTGCAAGTTGTTCAGTTTTTAAATATTTCAAGTATGAATTTTTCATATTATTTACATTTTTTTACCTGAGCAAACATTGTTCACTCTTTGGTAGCCGGCTGAACATTGGCAAACAAACGAACCAACTGTGTTGACGCAGATTTCAGATGGAGTGTTGCAACTGGTTTCATTTTCTGAGCACTCGTTGATATCTGAAGAGAATTTATTTTACAAATTTTCATATTTATAGACTACAAAATTAAAAATATTAGTCTTAATTCAAACCTATGCAAAAGGTATAATTATCGATTGGATTCCTGTAGCCAGTCACGCATGAACACACGTACGAGCCTGGAGTACTGATGCATGTTGATATCGTTAAGTTGCAAATGTGCGGATAGTTGGCACACACATCTGGAACTGAAGTTGAGAAAGAAAAGAAATTGTAAAATAACTCTTTCACTTATAAAATAAAATTTCTTTACATAGGGTGCAGTAGTCGTTGAAATATGATTTTTCATATCCGTAATTACAGACACATTCCGTGAACGTTGTGGTTCCTGTTACGAAAGATACGCACGTATGCGCTCCACAGTCGCCATTGTTCACCTGGCAGTCTTCAATTAGTGACAAAATTTTTTTTAGAAAAATATTAATATATTTTATTGAATTTATAAATGTATCAAACAAATTTTAAAATAATGAAACGTGATGAGCGAGACTTCTCTGATTGCAAGCACTTCCAGTCCAGCCAGGCGCACAAACTCCGGACAGACAATTCATCCCAACATCGAAGTTGTTTCCATCAGAGCAGTGATACATCGTCGAACAAACCTTGTTGATACCATACGTGTTGCAAACTGAAGACAAGATGACATACTTTTCATCATGTCTGTAAATGAATTTTGAAATTATTTTTCTTACGAGAATACAGGCTCTTTTTAACTGATCCTCCACAAAATTCCAAATTATTTCCCTGGCATTGAACTCTGCAGTCACATTCTGAAGCCATTGGATAACTTCCGGTAGAGTTCCCGCAATAGCATTCAGTATTTTGCTAAATATTTTCCATTTCAGGTATTTTAGTAGAAAAAAAGTTAAGAAACAAATATGTCCTTACAGTGAGAGAAGCATATGTGAAGTTTATCGACATGCAGTAGTCGAAACAATTTTCAATGGTCCTTGTCGCGGAACTCTGGCTTTCCACGTAGTCGGCGTCATCGAAGCAGCCCAAACGACCGGGGCTCAGTGGGGCTAAATTATTTATAATTTAGGGTTGTAAGACAAAACGCAGAACTGACATTTAGGGTTTAGATGACTGGTTTGTCAGACATACGAACTAGTGTAGGTCGCGTAAAAGTCAGTCGGCGCGCAAACTCTATTTGAATCGCAGTTTGAAAAACATGTGGAAGATGGATAGAGATCTGATGGCGTACCACACAAACATTGGTTATTCTGTTGATGAAATTGTTTAAAATTTGGAAATTGAAAATTTATTACTGGGAAGATAAATGTCATATTTAGTTTTAAATGTTTACATAAAAAAATTATCAGATTTACCTTTATTGTTGAGTAAAATATATTTGACTCTCTACATAAATTGAGGCATACATTCAAAGTTGTCTCGTAAAAAATTCGCTGCGTTTGAAACGATTTGAAACAACCCATGTACTTGTAAACGGGGCTCTCTGAAGCGATGATTTGAAAATATGGTACAAAATGACAGTTTCTGTTACATGTAACAATAAAAATTCACCTAATCCGTAGACTTCCAACTCAGCGAATTTCAGATCGCTGAGGATGTTGCTCGCATCCTGCTGGATGATGACGTACCTTGAATAAATATTTTTATCGGCACAATCAACTCTCATTGGTTGCAAGGTTAAGGCAGGAACGGTTGACTTCCAATAGCCGCAGACCCCATAAGTGCCCCGCAAATTACCGCTGCTAGGGTTGAAACTGTTCAATAGTCCCACCACGAAATAGTCCATCACACTCACTAGACAGATTTTTCAGTTTTGACGATTTTTAATTTTGAAAAAAAAACACGATTGAATTCTGAAAAACTTACGAGAGGAGGCGTTTGCGTAGAGAGCCACATATTGGACTTGGTACTGACGCACGAGGTCAACTACAAACCATTTATCAGCAGTTGAAGAACTTGACGGTAAAAGACAAAAATTACTTTTATCACCATCAACGCAATTGTTTGGAATGCACGACTGTAAGGTTGTCATATAGGCTGGCTTTCTTAGAGCCACATTTTCGTATTGCACAATAGTGTCTGGCAATTATTTTGGTTAAATTATTATATATTTGTTGTTTAAATACACAAGTTTCACAAAATTAATTAAAAACTTAACCATCTGCGTAAACTTCCAGCTCAGTCAATTGAATGTAATGGTCGTCTGCAGGCTTTGTCTGCTCAATAAACAAGGACTGTTGTATTATAACAAATCTTGAAAATTTATTGCTATCGCTACATGTGACATTGAATGGCTGGTAAGCAACTGCAGTTGTCATGTCCGGTCCCAACCCACACAGGTCATAATTGCCTCTGATCGATTGATTCACATTGGCATCGAAATTATTCGTCAGCCCAACTACGAAATAACTCATGCGGTAAACTAAAAATTAAATTAACAAATAATTACGATAAATTTTTCAAAGTTTTATAAAATTTTATAATTTTTTTCAAACTCACAGCAATCACGAGAGCAGTTATATCTATTGTACAATGTGATGTATTGAACTTGGTAGGCATTTATGAGATCGATGACCAGCCAATCAGAATAAAGGCTATTATAACCCGAATGAGCCATGAAGCCAGTTCTATCCCCATCAACAGCATTGGAAACCATCGCCCCTTCAGCTTGTGCCCCTTCTGTACTCATGTAGGCCGGTTTATATAAAGCCACATTAACTGGGGTGCCAGCTGGTTAATTGTTTTTCAAAATTAAAAAAAAACAAAATTTATCGTGTTAACAAATGCGAAAAATAATTAATGTCAATTTTGATGTTATAGACGTGAACATTTACTTCTGTTACATTTTATTTAATTTCTTTCGTAACATCAACTCACCCTCAATTCCAACAGAAAGCTGAAGAAAACTAATGATAATGAAATATTTCAGCGCCATTTAAACCACTAATCAGTATTCATTCGAAAATTATGATTGAAATTGTCACAAATTTTAAAATATTTCGAAAATTATATAAATTTTAACATTCGTTAACAAGAGAATTTCAACAATCATGAAAAAATGGTGATGGTGTTCTTTCATATAAAGCTACGTGCAAAGCAGAGATTTTCTGTATTGATGAAGCTCAGCCTAAAAGTATTGTATGGGCTGTGAATGCTGAATTACTGTTACATACACGCTAATACAACTTTTATCCTGTAGAGTTATACACTTTCACAAAATATTTAATGGCTGACAATTGCACGTACCCTTAACTTAGGCGGTTCCATTGAACAGCTTCTAGAAAGCGAATCGTGAGAATCTTCGTTAAGTTGAACTAGCTGAGCTATATCAAGAAATTAAATAAAAATATGGCGTGTAAAATAAATAAATTCGTATTTTGGCAACAAAAGTTTGTGAGATATCTTGAGCGGAATCTAGTTGTGAGTGGATGTGCAGTGAGAGGTTTCAACTGCAACGTGAATCTGTCTGCACATGTAGGTTATGAATTTATATGTATAAAAATGTGTTCGTTGTGTTTACTAATCTTTAATACGCATCGGTAAACCAAGTTGCTAAATTCAAACAAGTTGAATTTTTATAAATCAGTAATGAAACTATTGAAATCGTGCACTTGAAATCGCGATCTGTGACATGCAATAAACAAAAACAGCATTTGAATGTGTCTATAAAATGTAAAGGCAAATGGTTATAATCTTTCACTCATTCACTCACTCACTCACTCACTCAATCAATCAATCAATCACTTATTCACTTTATCAATCAATCACTTAATCACTCAATCTGAGACAAGTCATGTGTTGAAGTAATGTAGATTGGTGGTTCGAATCAGTTTATAGAACAAAATTTAAGATAGTTAAAGATGATGGTTGGAATGGTGCATCTCAGCAGACATTTGTTAAATAAAATTCAAATAGTTTGATCTTTTTTTTGTCATTATTTTTATTACCAGTGTTATATTATTTAAACAGAGCTAACAGCTAAATTAGTTTAAAAAATCAATTTATTACAAATTTCATTGGTATTATTTGCTAAATTGTCTACACACATATATGTCAGGGTTCAGTGTAGCGCTATACGATTTAAATGGATAACCAGTAAACAAATGACTAATATCTCGTGGCCGTGGTGAATTCAAGTTAAAAAGTGTTTAAAAACTGTCCTTCAGGGACAAATAATTATTAATAACTCAGTTTGCGTGAGTTATTAATAACTTGTCGCAATTTCTAATCATGGGAGTGATAGCGGCCAAACGTCTATAAAAGCGCTGGGAAGGTACTGTCAACAGGCTCAGAATTTCAGTTCAGGAATTAGTATCGTCGCGAGAGTTATCGTGGAGTCTTGGAAGTTGAAGTGGTAAATTCGTGAACCGACGATTTGTGAAATATATATATATATATATAATTAATTAATTGGAGATATTGACTCGTAACGTTGTTTAATTAATTAATTGGAGATATTGACTCGTAACGTCGGTTATTAATTACTGTTAATTGCCCTACGTTATAAGCTGTATTTTACTTTGTAATAGAGAAATTGTTACAACGTACTTGTTCTTGTTGCGAAGTTGAAATAATAATAAAAGTTAAAGAACGAACCCTTAGACATATAAGTAAAAGAAGTGCACCAGGATCAACATAAACATGCATTCTTCAAGCTTTGCACAACTCATGCATTCAATCAAACTGACTCGTTGCGTCTGTCTTTCTTTGTTAGACAATAACTTCAATGATAGTGAGCCAGTTGTTGGCCCTACCTCTTGCATACCATTCTCTCTAACTAACAAGCTATGCTTGCTACAGTTCTAATGCATTTATTATCTTTCTGTTTGTGATTTCGAGTAGCCAGATGTTGATTTGTTCATTTTAATTTTCATAACTTTTCATTTTAAAGATCCAATAGTATGCTTGTTCAGATTTAAACTTCGGTTTCACTTTAAAGACACACATGCACGTTCAGAATGTGATCTTCAAAAACTGTTGTGAATTCACTAATCAACAAACCTGTTAAAAGAGCATTTTGAATATTTGAATATTCATGAATCGTCTAGTGCTTAGAGCTTCTGTTGTTGCCACTGACGGTTCATACCTTGCTAAGCATTCTTCTATCTACTGAGCTAGCTACTTAGCTGTCTGTGGATGTTCCGTAAGATCGTGCGTACATGGTATGAAAATACATGGCGTGCATAATGAAAAGTTTGAATTTTAAAAAATTTTCATGGAAGAAGATTGTGCACACATGCATGCAAACTCAAGAATCAATCATTCCTTTCTTTGACTTCCATCAAAACTCAGTTTCAAACTGCCTGACTATATGTTATCCTCTTTACCATTAAGTATTGCACACGTTTGCTTATTACTTGGCAATAATTTTATGTTATTAGTTTGTTTCTTTCTTAAATGAGTCTATTTCTACACTGTATCATAACAGGCACAAGAACTACGTGAACATTTGTACAGCACGTCATACACTTGAAAGCAACATTGCTTCGAAGTCTTGCACAACCAGTGTTTGAATAAAGCAAGCATTCTGCTTTTGTTCGTCAAACAATGCATCTAGTCTAACTACTCTCGCTTTTACGGAGCTATCTTGCTGCCTAATACTCTCACCTTCCGATCTGTCTCACCACCTAAATTACGTCGTCTTGCTAGAATGTGAAATGTTTTTTTCTTATTTTAATTTTCAAATGTTCGAAAAAATTTCAATAATATTCTTCAAATTATGCCTCTTCGTGAAAGAAAAAATTCAAATAAATATTTGTGTGTGCTTGTATATATATGTGTGCGTGTGTGTATGTGAATGCGCGCGTGTGTGTATGTGAATGCGCGCGTGTGTGTGATATTTGTTTCGAGTTATTACGGATTATCCCTTATCATCTACAATTACGTTAAGACAAACGCATTATTAACTCTTTGTGTAAATCCCAGTGGTGTGTAGTTATTAACTACAAATAGTTAACTACTAGTTATTAACTACTTGCTAGTAGTTAAGCTGTAGTTAATAACTATTTTTTTCAAAGTAGTTATTAACTAGTAGTTAACTATTTTTTTAGTAGTTAATAACTACAGTAGTTAACTATTTTACATAACTACTTATAATAATAAGCTAATATTTGATCGCCCATATTTGTGTGCATGCATTGTGTTACTGTTGAAAACAGACATGGTCATCTAATATGCATTTGCTATGCATGACTAATCATATCACATACTGGATAACAAATGGTTGTATACAACAATGAGCAAAACATATATAAAACATATATACAATATATCATATATATTTATATATGTAACATATTGTATATGGACACATATAATAGACATTTTACATAATATACATACATATTATATACACCTATTGCATTATGTAGTTGTCTGTGGGGCATACATGGTTAAGACAACTTAATCATGGATGTCCATGACTTAATGCATCATTAATTCATCATATTAATCCCATGGGTTGTATCATATATCTATTGGTTGTTGATAAACAAATGCTGGTTGAATGTCCATGTGTGTGCGAGCGTTGCATACGATAATAACAAGGATAAAAATTTGGTATCGAAAGGTTGTAAACACCAGTTTCTTTTTAAATGGCAATGTTTCGAAAGTAGTTAACTACTAGTTAACTACTAGGTGGTAGTTAAAGAGTAGTTACTAACTACTGTTGGGCAAAGTAGTTGAAAAGTAGTTACTAACTAGATTTTTTCAAAGTAGTTAACTATAGTAGTTAACTACATTTTTTAAGTAGTTAGCACAACACTGGTAAATCCTAAAAAAGTATATACTCCGTGAAAGAGACAAAATATAATTTTAAATTTTGTAATGTTCCGCCAACAGGACACCTCGTCATACTTTGAATGCTGTTTAATTAATTAGAAGAGTTTATTATTAGTTATTCGGTGTCTTTTTCGTTTCATATTTTTTCAAAAACGTTATAATTTTCAAAAATTTTCATGACCAACAACATCATCAAAGTAATTATTGTCAGGCTTTAACATTGTTCTGACCATAAATTCCTATTATCAGGTCATAATTTGCACATTTCGAGTAAAATAATTGTGCAAATAATATAAAATAATATAATGAAAATAAATCACAAGAGATATTTTGTTATTTAAATTATTAATTTAAATAAAAATTAATTAATTATTGTGTAAATAATATAAAATAATAAAACGAAAATAAAATCACAGAGATATTTCGTTATTTAAAATGACTTTACGGCTGAGAACCAGAATTTTTACTATTTATAACCTTGCTTTTTATAGCCAACACTGGTTCTTATTCAAACTGTAACGGCAGAATTGCAAATAAACATTCATTGAATTAAACATTAGAATTGAAATAAACCACTTGACTTGGACTCTGACCCGAAATCGTTTTCGTTGCGTCATCTCCGGTCACCCAAATACTGATAAGGTTAAGGTTAACCTGTAAACGACACTCACACTTGCACACACACACAAACACGCACACACACACAAACACACTCATAGCGAATATATATATATATATATATATATTTCTGTCATAAATGCAATTATTGATGAAAATCACAGCATGTTCGGCGTTATTTAACTTCCTGCTAAACTTTAACTTAGAAAGAGAGAGAGAGATAGAGAGAGGAAAGAAAAGAGAAAAAGATGAAGAGAGAGAAGGGTTATAAAATTGTAAATAAGCTATTAGTTAACAGTTCTATTATTAATAACATTTATAACATATTATCATTAAATATTAATATATTGAACATGTCTGTATGTGTGTGTGCTTTTAAGTTTGTGTGTGTATGTTTGTGTGTGTGTGTTTGTGTATGCGTTTGTGTGTGGTTTGTGCATAAGTGTATATTGTTAGTTGACGTTGGTATTCAAGCGGTTGTATTTGTTTGCGGCAAGCAAGTAAGATATCAGGCCAGTAAATGTTACGATTGATACTACAAAGACACCTATGAGGGCAAACAGCATGGTTCTGTCGGCAGAAACTGAAATATAATCATTCAAACAATCAAACAAAAAAAAATAATGATATCTCATTTATATAGCGCACAGAATTGTGGCAAGTTTCAAATTAGTATTTGGCTATCACACGGACAAAAAAAAACTTCAATAAACGGTCATATTAGATAGAGGATTTCTTTGCAGTCGAACGCGGTCACTGCTGATCTACTAAAGATGATATAGAGTGGGTTACAAAATTAATTGCTACCTCCACACGTCCACTGATCTTTGTTTGAGTAGCCACTGCCACAAGCACAACTGTAGTTTCCCATGCTGTTCACGCACGTTGAGATGGCTGCGTTGCATGCGTGCCTGCCCTGCAAACACTCATTCACATCTGGGAGTTTTCAATTTGTGAAAATGGCGAAACTTTAGTAAATTTTCAATTTTATGATCTTAAATTAGGTTTAAAGGTCAAAAAATACCAAAAAGTATAACAATCAAGCGATATATGAAAGTACGCATTAGCGGCCACACACAAAGACACACACACGCACACACACACAAACACACACACAGACACATGTACACACAGACACACAACCTTCGCACAGCCATTGATCCTTATTATAGAAGCCATCAAAACACATGCAACTAAACGTGCCAATCTGATTAACACACTTTGAAGTTTGGTTATTGCAAGCTTGCGTGTTAACCACACATTCATCTATATCTGTAGAAAAACATTTTTACCATTATTTCAAATAAAATTAAGCTGCAATATCGAGTTATAGTCTGTTATTTTTTACCTACGCATATGTTGCTAATGTTTCTGTACCCTGCAGAGCACTGACAGACATACGAACCAACAGTATTAACACATGTCTCGTTCAGACCAATACAGTTGTTTATATTTTCTGCGCATTCGTCAATGTCTGAAAAATTAAATTTTAAGAACTTGGAGAAGTCTTTAATAAAATTTTTAAATAAAAAAATTTCCTGAACCTATGCATGTGGCTTGATCGTTGTCGGGATTTATGAAGCCCTGGAAACAACTGCATACGTAAGAGCCAGGCGCACTGCTACACGACGAAACAGTAATGTTGCAAATAGCTGGGTACTTCGTGCAGACATCTGGCACTAAAGTTTATTGAAAATATTTTAAAATAATTCCAGAATGAAAGGCAGTGATGTAAGACTTACTGAGAGTGCAATAATCTTTGTAGTATGACTTTATATATCCTCCCTTGCAAACGCATTCATTGAGTATGGTGTTTTTTATTTTGAACGAAGCACACGCATGCATTCCACAATCTCCGTTGTTTGTTAGACAGTCTTTCATTGATTATAAACTTCACATAATAAGTCAATCCATTATATGATATTGAACCTATACCTCTTTCATTGCATGCAGCACCCGTCCAACCAGGCTTGCAACTTTTTGACGAGCAACTTAGCTGCGCATCCAGATTGTTTCCATCAGAACAGTGATACATTTCCAAGCAACTTTTGCCAGTGCCATACGTGTTGCAAACTGGTAAAAATGTGTAATTTTATTTGAGATACTTTCAGTTTTACTGTTGAATTTAATTTTATTTGAATCATTTACGCAGGTAAACGTTCTTCGCCGACGATCCCCCACACCTCTCCGATGGATCGCCACTACAAGTGATGTTGCAATCACAATCTGAAGTCTTGCCGTAACTTCCGGTAGAATTTCCACAGAAACATGAAGAACCCTGCTAATGTACGACGGTTGTTATTAGGAGCAACAAAATTCTGTTTTCTAATGTGCTACTGAATAAAATTCAAAGCTCAAACCTGCAGACTTGCGTACGTGAAGCTCCTCTCCAGACAATATTGAAGACAATTTTTAACCGTTCTTGGTGATGAATTCATGCCATCAGCGAAATCAGCATTCGTGTAACAACCCAATTGACCGGGACTTATTGAAGCTAAATGTTTAGAAAGATTCAAATTTTAACCAAATTTCAATCCAATATTAATTCTTTCGACTTTTTACTCGTATAAACCGCGTAAAAGTTTGAATAGCAGACTGCATTTGCATCACAATTTGCGAAACATGAAGACGACGGAAGAAGATCAGATGGCACCCCACAGAAGCACACACTGTTGTCCTGAAGTGTTTAAATGATAAATTCACATGAAATCAGTCAATTCGATTCTCCGACATTTGTACCTTGACCGTAGCATAGGAAACATTGGAGAGTTTGCACAAGTTTATACAAACGTCCAGAGATGATTCAAAGAAGGTTCTTTGTGTTTCAAATGATTTATAACATCCCATGTATTTGTAGATAGAATTTTCTAGAAGAAAGTTATTATAAACCAAATTAACAATTTGTCTTTTTCAAAGACAACTCAGCAGAAGAAGTATCCAGACCTGAACCGTGCACCTCGATGTCTGCAAACGACATGGTGTTAAAGAGCATGCTGGTCTCTTGTTGGACGATGACGTACCTCGCGAAGATGTTTCCATTATTGGCACAATCAACTCTCATAGCTTCTGCACCAGGCAGAGCGAAATCTTTCCAGCGACCGCAAATTTGATACGTGCTCCGAATACTTGCAGTCGAGTTTTTATCAAAATTATTCGTTAGTCCGACGGCGAAATAGTTCATTAGGGAGTATGCTTGAAACAAAATGAAAGATATCGGTCACGGATTTTGAGAGTTCGAATTTTGAAACGTTACCGGTAGAGCTGGCATAGAGAACAACATACACGATGTTGTACTGCCGCAACAAGTCCACGGCAAACCAGTTTTCGTTTGTGGGACTGCCGTAGGGAGACACGCAGTCACTTGCTTTATTCTCGTCGACGCAGTAGTTTGGAGAGCATGGGAACTTGGGGACCTTCATGTAGGCCGGTTTCAGAGAGGCCACGTTGTCATATTGCAAGAATGTTTCTACCGAGTATTTTTTTTTCAATTTTTAATTTTTGTGTCAGTAATTTTGAATTTTTTAATTTTAATCATTATTTTTAGTATTTAATTTTAATTTACACCAAAAAATTTTTTCATCATGACGTCTGAAGAATTATTAAAATATAACCGTCGGTGTAAGCTTCAACTTCTGCGACAACCACGAATAGAGACTGAGGTAAGGTAACCTGTTCAACTTGAATGGAAAGCTGTAAGATGACAAATCTTGAAAATTTTTCGCCATCAACACATGTAACGTTCATCAGCTGGTAAGGATTGACCACTAATTTCGGTCCTGTCCCACACAAATCATAATTACCCCGCAGGGAACTGTTCACTTTCGCGTCAAAATAATTTGTCAGGCCAGCTACAAAATTCCTCATTTGAGCATCTAATCATTCATTGGATCGTATATCAAAAAATTTCATCAACATTTAAACTAAAAATAAAAAAAGTTATTTTTTATTTATTTATTACTATTAAAGTTATTTATTAATAACTCAAAGAAGTTTTGAAAAAATGTTCAATTTTTTGTAATACATACAGCATGAAACACAAGCTCCTCTGTTGAAAACTATGACATACTTTACTTGGTAAGCATTTACCAGATCAACGACTATCCATTCTGAATATCCGAAAGTTGAGTTCGTCATAACAAGGTTTGTCAAATTTCCATCAACCGCATTCGATGGTTTGGAGCCTTCGTCTGTGGATAGGGTACTCAGGTAGGCTTGTTTATTCAGGGCGATATTTACGTAGTTGGTAGCTGTGTGTGTGTGTGTGTGTGTGTGTGTGTGTGAGTGAGTGTGTGTGTGTGTGTGTGTGGTGTCAGGTTTACTGTTGAAAAGTATTAAATTTATACCGTTTCAAATGTTTCAATATGAAATATCTTTAAAATCAACAGCATTTTAAGGAGTTTTAAAATAAAACATTTGAGGTTATTTTAACAAATCATCGATCTGCTAGTTAATAATTCGTCAATTTCACCTTCAGCAGTTGAGAACATCGTAATAGAGACAGCAAAAAACATGAAACTCTTTTTAAATATCATATTTAAACTTTTTTCAAATTTAAAGACATTCAATACTACATACACATACATACATACACAAAAAAATGAGCCCAGACTCTGGCTATAACTTGGTTTTTATCATCAATCGTTTTCACCCATTCATGGCTTCGAGAATTTTTGAAATACACGCAGTATGTCAAGTTAAGCTACTATTTTAGTTTAGCTACAATTTAAGTTGAGCTACAATTATAAGTGAATCGTTTTGAATGTACACATACACCAAGTTAATAAAAAAGTTTCAAAAAAATAATAATAATGAATACTAATAATAATATATCTTAATATTATTTAGTCCGCACAGTAATAAGAAATAAAATTGTTATAAGCTTGAGTGTTGCTTTTGGCTATTCATTTGCACGCAATGAGCTTCTTAGTATGTAATTGTTTAGGTGTTGAGATTAAATTAATAAAAAAATTTAATTTAAATAACTGAGTATATATCACAAAAATTGAAAAAATTAATAAGATTACGAGATATCTTTTCAAAGGCTGCCAGAATTAAGCAAGTTATAAAAAGTTTTAAAAACTGTGTATAGTGATTTATGAAATGAAAAATTTAATTTAAAAACTGATTTTGTTCCTTTAAATTAAACTGATTTGGTTCCTTTACAAAGAGCGTGTATTTTTACACAGCTTATAAGTACATTCAACAGTACCGTGCATGTATATGTACAGAGCATGTACACGCTTCGTGTGCTTTGTGCTTTTCAAAGCAATGTAGAAATTTGTTAACCCAGCCACAGCTGACATATTCAAAATGTACTTTTATAACTTATATTCGTTAGATTTTTAAATATTCTGAAATTTGTTTGATTAGTTTTGAAAGGGTCGTAATTGCCAAGGGATGAAAATATTTAAGGGACCATCTTATTATTTTACCCGAGCTACTGTCGGTACCGTTATGTTAGTTAGTTTTTTTCTTTATGGATGAAAATAATTGTTACAAACATTTTTGATTAATTTATAATCATAATTTATTTAGTTTATTAAATATAAATAAACAATTTTTATGAATTATTTTGTTGTTAGTTTATATAATTAACGGTTATTGTAGGCGTAAGAATGAAATTTTTACTTCATAAAAGTATTTTGTTAGGTCCCCAAAAGCACTAAAGAAATGTTAATTGCTAAGTGAACACATAAAACAAAATTAAAAAAGATTATTATGTTAAAAGTCTGATCATCTAAAATGTTATCACACAGACACATACACACACACACACACACACACACACACACACACACACACATACACACACAATAAAAAATTATTATGATAAAATATAACATTATATTTAACAATAATTACTGGCAAAAGCTTGTCAACGGTTAACCGAAAACTTAATAAAAAATTGAAATACTTAATAAATTTTACAAAATAAAAATTTGAAAAATGTCAGTTTTAGATGTATATAAAGAAAAGAACTGAATGTAGCCAACTCTATCAGATGCCAACGGCAGATAAGATAAAAAAAATTTCAAATAACCGTAGATACACAATGAAAATGGTAAAAAATAACATTCCCACGGGCAAGAATGAAAGAAATATCACAAAATGTGTATAATAATCTTAACAATATTCGTCATAGAGCCAGTCTGTAGAATAGTTAATTTAATGGTATTTTGTTATCCTCCCTAGAGTTGTTAACAAAGAGAAGATATGAGATCAAGCCGGTGAATGTCAGGATTGATACCCCCGATATGGCGATGAAGACATACAATACGTTCTTTTCTTCACGAACTGAAAAGAAAGAAACATTTTTAATTAATTAATTATTAATTAGTTAATTGCCTTAAATCAATTATTCAATCAATTAATCAACCAATTAATTAATTAATTGCCTTTAATCAATTAATCAGTCAATTAATTAATTAATGGTTTTTAATCAATTATTCAATCAATTAATCAGGCAATTAATTAATTGCCTTTAATCAATTTTATTTATAATTTATTTTCAAATTTCATCTATTACCGTCACAATTCCATTGATCTCTGTTAGCATAGCCACCATTGCACGAGCAACTGTAGGTCCCGATGTTATTCACGCATGTAGAAACAGCCGTGTTGCATATGGTGGCGTCCTTCAAACATTCGTTTACGTCTGCGTTGGTCGAGTTGGTTGTTTGGCGGTTTAATGATTTAAGTGCTTCTTTAGTTTTGAGTAAAATTCGTAACGTTATTGTCAATTATTATGCTAAAAGAGATCTAATTAGTAGTGGTTCTTACACAGACCATAGTCTTCTGAACCACTTTAAACCCCGTTAATAATAATAATAATAATGAAAATAGTCAAAAAGGGTTTTAACAAGCCCACAAATATAAATCCATGAAGAAGTTTGTCTAAATAAAGACTATAAATATTATTCATTAAATGCTGAGAACCTTCACAAAGCCACTGATTTTTATTGTAGAATCCTTTGAAGCAGGAGCAGCTGTAGGAGCCAATCTGGTTGATGCATGTTGATTTGTCGGGATCGCAGGGGTTTGTGGCGTTCAGACACTCATCAATATCTGTAAAGTTTATAATTAATAATAAATTTAATTGATTGGCATTGTTAATAACATTTTTAATTATTATTAATTATAAAAGTATAATGAAATAATGACATCACCTATACACGTGTCGTTAATTCTCCTGTATCCTGATACACATTGGCAGGTAAATGAACCTAGCGTGTTCAGGCAACTTTCGACCGTGCTGTTACAGTTGTGCAACATTTCGGCACACTCGTCAACGTCTTGAAAATAAATTTAACAGGTTTTAACTGCCCTTCAATGGAATTTGAAAGTTTGAGAGTAGTTTTTAGCAACTTATAACTGCTTTTTTGTATCAAGTTATGACATGAGAATCGGTTGAAACCTATGCAGATGGTCTTGTCAGTGGGCGGGTTCTTGTAGCCAGCCATACATAGGCAAAAATAGGAATCGGGTGTAGTTTGATTGCATGTTGAAATAGTTGTATTGCAAATATTTCTGTAACTTGTGCACACATCTGGCACTGAAAAATTTCATAAATAATTTTTATAAATGTGAAAAATTCAAATTGAGAATTTGAGAAAATTGTGAAGAGTTGGTACCGAGAGTACAGTAATCGTTGAAGTATTGTTTCCTGTAACCGTCCTTGCAGTTGCACTCGGAAAAAATTTTTGTTTTGATTTGGAAGGTTGTACATGCATGGATTCCACAATCTCCATTGTTCGTCTGGCAATCTTAGATAAGTTTTAAGTAAAATTTTGGAAAAATTATATCAAAATTTAAGTTATCGTTTGAAAAACACACACACACACACACAAACAAACAAACAAGAAAATTGATAAATGTTGTCAGAAATTTTAGGAATAGTGTTAATAAAAATCATACCAAACCTCTTTTATCGCAAGCATCGCCAGTCCAACCAGCCTTGCAACTTCTTGATGCACATGTCAGTCCAAGATCAAGATTGTTGCCGTCAGAGCAGTGATACATTTCCGAACAGGTTCTGTTCGTCCCGAAAGTGTTGCAAACTAGAAAATAAACAAAATTTTCATATTTATTTTCGGTTTTAATTTTATATTCTCCAAAAAATATTTTCCACAAATTTTATTTACGAGAGTAGCTGTTTTTTCTTGCGACACCGCCACACATTTCAGCCGCGTTACCATCGCAGTAACTGTTGCAACCACAGTTGGACGCCAGTGCATGGTTCCCGATCAGATATCCGCAGTAACATTCCCTAGAATTCTGAACATTTTAAGTTTGTTTGTTTTTTAAAGTTTGATTTTAAAAGTTTGATTTTTAAGTGATTCTGTCTAAAAAATATCATCCTAACCTGGAGATTCGCGTACGAGAAGTTCTTTCCGAGGCAATATTGGAAGCAGTTTTCAATAGTTCTTGAAGAGGCACTGTTACTATCGACATAATCAACATCCGTGTAGCAACCCATGTAGCCCGGGCTTATCGAGGCTGTGGTTTTTCAATGTTACAATCAAATAAAATTGTTCTCAATTTATATTCTACAAAATTTATGAAACTTTTTCACAATTTGTCAATTAAAATTTTTGGCATTTAAAATTGGCAGTGGTCAAATTATTCACTACAATGTGAATGCTTACTTGTGTAAACAGCGTAAAAACTTGTTTCCGGACAGATCCCACTTCCGTCACAGTTTTCAAAACAGGAAGAAGACGGAAGAAGATCGGATGAAGTGCCACAAAGACAGAGAGAGTCCTAATCATAAAACAATTAATCAAATCCGTTTGTGTAGCGCAATTTCTTAAACGCTAGTTCGATTATGTGAAACATTCATAGGAAGAAATTAACAATATAACTAATGTTTCTCTTACATCACGCTTCGTGAAGCTTTCGAAGGCGCATTGTATCAAATTTTTAAACCACAAAATTTTTATTTAAATATTTATTATTATTTGAAATAGCTCTAGGAGTTGGTTACCTTGATCGTGGCGTAGAGAGTTTTAGAATCTTTGCAGAGGTTGACACAAACATCCAGAGATGAGAACTCGTAAAATATAGACTGCACTTGAAAGGACTCGTAGCAACCTTTGTAATTATACACAGGGCTCTCTGGGATATTAATTTTTTGAAATCAAGATTCACAAATTACATCTGGAAATAAACTTTCCTAACCCACTCCATAAACCTCCAGTTCGGCAAAAGTCATATTGATGGCTTTGTTGCTCGCATCTTGTTGGATGATGACATATCTGTAGTAATTATTTTTATTTCGACACTCGACTCTCATTGGCTGTATGGTGAGATTGACGGTGGTGGCCCAGCTTCCGCAGGGATCGTACGTGCCCCTGTTGACGGCGTTGACGCTCGTGTTGAACTTGTTCGCCAGTCCTACCACAAAGTAGTCCATAACGAATGCTACACGTCAGGTTTGGCAATATTAGGTTTCATAGTTGTTAGACTTGTAGGACGTTCATTTGAATATCGAAATAATATATCGTTTGAAATGTTAGTTCAGTGTGGCAGCGGTCGTGTTCGACTGCAAAAAAATCTTTGCTCCTCAGACACAGATTCTCATGTACATACATATTTTCAGCACATGCACATACATATTTCATTCTCACTTCTAAGTAAAAACTCGAAGAAAATCTAAAATTTAAATTATTAAAATGAAAAAACTTTCCAAAACTCACAGCAGCAATCAGTACGGGCGTAGAGAGCAACATACTGCACCTGGTACTGTCGCTTCAGATCGACTACGAACCATTCCTCGATGGTTGAAGACGAAGGACTGTGCGCTAGGAGGCAGTAGGTAGTCTTTTCGCCATCGAGGCAGTTGTTTGGAGAGCAGGCTGAGGAGTTGAAGCTCGACATGTAAGCTGGCTTTCTAAGGGCCACGTTGTTATACTGCAGGATTGTGTCTGGTTGGAAAATTTTGAAAATTTGTTTTAAACGACAAAAACTTATTGTTTGTTGTTTTATATTTATTTTACAAAATTTTACCAGACAAAAATTCAGATTTACCATCGGCGTAGACTTCCAGCTCAGAAAAATGCACGTAGCGATCTGAAGTATTGTAAGCTTGTTCGATTTGTAAGGACTGCTGTATGATGACGAATCTCGAGAATTTATTTCTGTTATTACACGTGACGTTGAATGGCTGAAAGGCAACTGCATATTTGAGGTCAGGACCTATCCCACACAGATCATAATTCCCACGAATCGATGTATTCACTTTCGGGTCGAAATAATTTGTCAGACCAACCACAAAAAAACTCATTCGGTAGACTAAAATTATTTATTGAAAGTTTAAATAGACCAAAAATTAAAATAATTTTTTTAAAACTCGAAAATCTTTTCTTCAAACTCACAACAATCGCGGGAGCAGTTTTTCCTGTTGTACAATGTGATATATTGAACCTGGTAGGCATTTATGAGGTCGACCACAAACCATTCCGAATACCTTAAAGTGTTGGTGGTATGCGCCAAATTTGTTAAGTTTCCGTCAACTGCATAGTAAACTTTTGCACCATCTTGCGAGCCACCTTCGCTGCTCATGTATGGCGGTTTGTTCAACGCCACGTTTACTAAACTGCTGGCTAAAAGTTTATTTTGAGAGTTTAAAAAACTTAGCTGTCGCAATTTTAGAGAAATTTTTTAGTCGTTTCAAGTTTTGAATTTTTTTTAGAAAGTTGAATGTAAATTATATCAAACTAGATCTGTACCTTCCTGCAACACAAGCATCTCCACGAGGCTAGCAATAATGATGACCTTAAACAACATTTCATCAAATTTTTATCGAAAAAATTTAACTAAAATGAAGAAAAATTGGTAAAATCTGAAGTTAACTAACGCTTTTAACACAAACCCGTGCAAATGAACTATTAAGTAAAAGGCATGTCTCAACTTGGCAATTCAAAATAGCACACCTCAGAGCTAGCTAGTCACCTAAATGAATACAATTCAAATAGCTGAATTTAAACAAAGCTATATTATTTCAAAGGCTGTTATAATTACGTTGTCTACCTAGACAAAAGTTCTAGCTATGGCCACATAGAAACACACACTTATGTATCTATCTATCTATCTATCTATCTAACCATATTTATCTATGAATCTAGTTATATATATATATATAAATATATATATATATATATATATATATATATAATTTTTTTTTATTAGTCTTTATTTTTGCAGCTCTGACATACGCAGAACCACTTACAATGTTACAGATATATATTATCTATATATCTTTTATTATGTTCTTCAAATCCTGTGTGTGTGTGTGTGTGTGTGTGTGTGTGTGTGTGTGTGTGTGTGTTGTGTATGTTAGTGTATGTATGTTAAGAACAATATGCTGAAAATACCCAAAAATAGGGCAGTATTAAATGATAAACCCTGGTTCATACAATAAATTGAACTTTCTTAGCAGCGTTTTGGTGCATGCCTGCCTAAGGCAATTGAAGCATGTCGGAGCGTACGTACAAATACATACGTACATTCATATATACATTAGCACATGCACACACGTGTACATGTACAAACATACACACACAAATATATACATACACAAACATAAACACAAACAAACACATGTATATAAATGTGATAGTTCTTTGGTTTGAGCAATTAAATGTGAGAGTATATATCTAATTATACAACATATGATTGTTTAGCTAATGCGCTCACAGTCAGTCAACCAGTCACTTTTTCAAATTATCATTATTTATTATAATAATTATTATTTTTTTTTGATTTATAATAATTTTCGTTCTTCATACATTACTTATATTATATCAAGCTGCGCGTAAGTTTCAGGCATAGACAAAAGTATGACCAAAATTAATTTATTGATAAAAAAATAGTCAAAAATGACCCACAAATATGAACACTAAACTTTTTTGATTTATTTATAGTAGTAGTAGTAGTTGTAGTAATAGTAATATTAGTAGTAGTAATAGTGGTGGTGGTGGTAGTCGCATTAGTTGTCGTCGTAATTGTTGTAGTAGTGGTAGTGGAAGTAGTAGTAACTCTTTTTTTTTAAATTGGTTGCAGTTTGTCTTTACAATTTTTAATGGATTTGTTATGAAATTGTTGAAACGTTACATATTATTCTTGATGTTATTTAACTTCAAAGTGAGTTGCAAATAAGCCTAAAAGTTGCATTGAAACTTTCAACTTTCATTTCAAGACTATACACCATGGCTTTATCAAACTCTGATGTTATTATTCACGTGATGTTATTATTCACGTGATGTTATTATAGAACCTAGACCAAGCATCTGGCTGGCAATGCTAAACAATAGTAGCATGATAATCACACATACGTATTAACTGCATGGCTCACTATTTGAGCAGCCAATTGTTTTCATTAATATGATTTAAAAATGCCGTCTATCAAGGCACAATGCATGCAGCAGTTCTTCTAATGTACAACTACGATGTACGCAAAATTGCTTACATTTCATACCTGACATTCTTAGACTTTTGTCTTATAGGCTGTGCGTAGAGCACACACTACCACACACACGCACACACACACACACGTACACACGCACACACACGCACACATCAAACACACTCCAAACGGAGTACATACACACACGTTGTGTAAGAGTGTATGTGTTTTGAAGAGTTGGACAGCGTTTAAACCAGGCCATTACGTAATTACAGCCCGAGACATGGCATTGCTACCGACTGAGCTAACTCGTTGGCTCAAACTTATAGTAAAGTGCTTAAATGTGCAATGAACGTTTTGAATTATCTTTAGATTTTGAAAAAGTCTGCAGCTAATAGCTTTGAAAAGAATTCAATATGATCACGTAAACATGGAAGATATTTGTTAATTTCAATTTTAAATCATATTTTCTGATACATACACGCATATATAAATGCACAGACGCACACGTATACACACACAGACACAAACATATATACACACATAGACACACACAGACCAAAGTATTTTTTAATTTGAATCATTAGAACCCAAAAAAATCATTTTTTTTATTTCAGGTTTGGCTAAAATAAAATTTTTAAAAATCGACGAAATTTTCGTTGCCTTTCAGCATCTTTCGATCATTCCACAGAAATAAAACTAAACACCAATTAATTAATGTGACGTAATATATATTTTCTCTCTTTTAATCTACTGCCGTTAAATTTCACAAGAGTATCCATGGTATATACTAAAACTTTTCAATAATTGGTAGTAAATCCACACCTCCCGATTAAACTTTGTTCTACAACCAAATGACTGTGACACAAATCCCAAAAGGATTATATTCTGACTTAAGGTAGGGCAAGCAGGGCCTCTATTTCGGAATCTAAACAACACAAAATGGCTGGACAAAAACCAGTCGGTACAACGTTACGAAGAAATTCCGGTTAGTATTAAATCCATTTTACACTTATTGAATTTTTCGAATTTGTTTTAAACTACAAATTACAAATATGAAAATAAAATAGTTACCAATAAAAGCAACAGATATAAATTAATTATGATTAGAAATAAACAGTGTTGATAAACAAAAAATATTAGAAATTAACACAGATAAAATGCCGTTAGGTTAGTTAATTATGTCTGATCATCTTAAAATGATATCACACACACACACACACACGCACACACACACACACACGCACGCACACACACACAGGATTTGAAGAACATAATAAAAGATATATAGATAATATACATCTTTAACATTGTAAGTGGTTCTGCGTATGTCAGAGCTGCAATAATAAAGACTAATAAAAAAAAATTATATACATATATATATATATATATATATATATATATATATATACAGTACCCAACATAATTGCACAATCATCACATATTAAACAAAATTTAACCCACTGATATATTATTTAAATTGATAAAAATAAGTACAAATTAAAAATAAAAATTTGTAAAATATTATGAAAATTTTCGGTACGGTGGTGTGTAGACCTTTGATATTATGTAACTTGGACAAAAGCATCAGTTTCCAACTACTACTACTTCTACTACTACTACTACTACTAATTTAATTAGTATTTAACAACTACTGCAGTTACTATTATTGCAGCTACTACTACAACTACTGCTACTTCTACTACTGCTTTTATTTCTACCAGCTGTTAATTTCAACAGAAATTTATTAGCAAATTACGTGCTATTACTAATCATGGTATCTCTTTTACTAGATATGATTTTTTGATCTCTCGTCCAGGTGGCATCGTTGAAGTTGGGCCCAGTGTAGTCGTAATCCACATTGTCGGCGTCGTCGTTCGCCTTCATCAATTGACGTGCTGTAATTTGTGGCGACGACGTTTGCGTTGTGGTAACGCGAGAGATTTGGCGGCAAGCTAGATGCCGCTTTCACAGGGGTTGGTGGAGATTGCTTGGTGTTCGATTTTGACCATTTTCCACCTATTATTAATATTATAGTTATTAGAGAAATTATTATTATTACTTAATTATTATTACTATTAGTAATTGTAGTAATTTTGGTGGTGGTAGTAGTAGTAACAGTAGTAGTAGTCATAGTAGTAGTAGTAATTATTGTTATAGTAGTATTTGCAATAGTAGTTGTAGTGGTAGTATTTATATTTCAGAATTAAAGCCGACGCTAGAAAATCATATTTATTTTGACAAAACGTTCTATACAAATCTGACAGCGAAGACCAACTTTTGTAACAAATGTAAATGATCAATGAGATGTTTGCCAAGAGAAACACGCCCGCTATCACGACGAAAGCTATCATAACTTGTCTTTCAATTGGAACTGACGAAATTTCAGTTAATATTTTCTTATTTGCAGTTCATAACATTTTTAACATTTTAAAAAATAGAAATTTTAAAATCTGATTTTACTTTTTTTTATGTAATAATAATGTTATTTAAACTTGTCGTAAACGAACCAGAGCAAACATTGTTAATTCGTTCGTACCCGGATGAACACTGGCAAACGTAGGAACCGTTCATACTAGCGCATATTTCTGATGGTTTTTTGCAAACGAGTTTGTTGTCGGGACATTTTTCGGCACCTGGATATATGAATGAAGTGCAGTCATCGTTGTAGTAGGTCTTCATGTACCCGCTCTTGCAAACACATTCCGTCAGCGTTGCAGCCCCAACTTTGAATGAATAACATCTATGAGCTGTACCACAGTTACCGTTGTTAACCAAGCAATCTGTAAAAATTTGTCCGGTGGGGAAAGAGAATTATAAGCAAAAAACATAATGAACAATTAGAATTATGAAGTCTGCAAAGATGGGAGCCGGTCTTAAGAAGAGCAAATTAAATTTAGACCAATCCTCATTAATTTTTACTAGGAAATAACTTGTAGTTTTTACGATATTTTGGAAAAGATGCAAATTATCACGAATATAAAAAATATGAAAAGTGAAGAGATTGATCGGTGGTGAAGTTGAAATACGAATTCATCAAATCTAACCATTCGCATAAACTTCCAGTTCAGCAAATTCAAATTGTCTATCAATATTCAATGAACCACTATCTTGCCACTGTTGAATGATTACAAATTTCGAAAACAACTTCTCATTGGCGCAGTCGACTCTCATCGGCTGACCAGCCGTAAAAACAGTTGTTGGCCACTATCCGCAGAGGTCATAACTCTTTTTAACGATCGTTTTGTTTACATTTGGATCGAAATTGAGTGTTTAGATTCATTAAAACAAATTAATTCAAATTTAGAAGGATTAGGTTTAAGACACATAGAGTCAGACCAAGTGATAATTGAAGAAAGACATGGAGATAGATTAAGAAGAACACTATTGAGATTGGATGGAGGAAAAGAAGTATAAATATAAGAATCTTCAACATTTTCTCGTATTTTTAAATGTAAAACAAACTTTAAATAACTTTTTTTTAATTTAATGCTAAATGTGTTAACGTTGAAAATGTGAGATGTTAAGCGTGCTGAATGTTAATTTGAATTCGGTTAGTTGAGTTTTAAGCTAAGAAGTACTACAAACGAGTATCAAATGTGTGTGTGCCTGTGTGTGCGTGTTTGTGTTGTGGTGATTATTTTGTTATTTTCGGCTTATCCTACGTTTTTTTAAAATAAGTATCTTAATATTTAATATTTCTCATTTATAACAACGATCTGGTGCCTTATATGGTAGGTGAGTATTTTTGATCATTGACACTTTTTTCTGGTTTTTGGTAGGTGCTAACGTGTGAGTTAAATTAGTTGTAAGTAATTGTAAAAATGTCAATATCGGAACATTCAACAACTAAGAAAATTTTTTTAAAGTTGTAAAAATAGTATAAAGATTAAAAATGCTTGTCCAAAAAAGTACATTAAATATGATTCTGTAAGGAAACGTTTTTTTATTCAGTATACAATTTTATATTTGGCATTTTTAAAAATCTTTTTGGCTAATAAATGTTTTAACAAACTGTTAATAATGCTGTTATATGGAAAGTTATAAATCGCGAATAAAATTTTTTAAAAGAGTTAAATGATAGAATATCAAGCAAACATCCAAGGATTGTTTAAAATTATAAATCGCGAATAAAATTTTTTAAAAGAGTTAAATAATAGAATATCAAGTAAACAACCAAGGATTGTTTATTTAAAAATATATCACCGATGCAAATAAATACTCAATTTGAGGAATCAAATATTTAAAAAGTTTAAAAATATTTCTATTCTAATAAAATCATTTAAAAAGAACATTATAATGTAAGTTTTGTTACATTTTAAAGTCTTTCAGCTTCGTTACTCTGAGAGGTTTGCCTTGGCCAGTTGGGATTGGTAGGAGGCAGCACAAGAGGCAAACACGCCTATCAACGTCAGGATGACTGCTCCAAAAACTCCGATGAACGCAAACAAGAGGTTTCTCTCTCCTGAAACTAAAAACGAAGCACGAATTTGTGATAATTAATATTCATGAAACGATATAGCACTCATGCTGTCAAAACTGTCTCGTAGTTGGTTGGAAGATTTGAACAGGTTCGTATCATTTTTTCTTTTCGTTTTAACTTACCACTCCATTCTTTTAATATGGTAATGATATTACAACAAATTTAAAAAAAAACAAAACTTTTACATGAATTATCGAACAAATTTTTTGCTCTAGTCCAAAAACTCCTCGACAATGTTTTCGCATCAAAAAATGTTTCAATGATCATGATTTTAAACTAATAATTTGATATTTCAAACCAAATATTTGCTGCTCTACCTTCACAATTCCACTGGTCTTTATTAACGTAACATATCTGTGCGTTGGTTTAATGCTGCTGTATTCAGGATGTTCATACATTTTTGGTTTAAATTTTTGACACATTACTAACCCGAGCAGACGTTGTTGAACCTCTGGTAGCCAGGTGAGCACTGACAAACGAAGGAGCCAGCAGTGTTGACACAAATTTCAGTGGGGTTCGAGCAGTTGTGCAGGTTCAGTGCACATTCGTCGATGTCTATAAAGTTTCAAGATCAAAAGTATTTTGTACATATTTCCAATAGCTAGGAAACGAGAATCAAAAAAGTACTTTCATCGACGTCTGAATATTTATTTATTAGAGTGCTCGGGCAAATTTTTATTTAATACGCACCTTTGAATGCAACTGCAACGAATGAAAATCGTAAAATATATTCTTATAAACTGTTTGACTCAATTAAACATGGTTCCTATACAAAAAATAATATGAATGATTTGAATCAAACATAAGTATAAATGTATATAATAATGATTAGAAATATTACCATCACATGTCCATGGGTTCTTGCTGTAGAATCCACTCAAGCAGTTACAACTGTACGTTCCTACTTTGTTCACACATGTTGAAGTTCTGTTGTCGCAAGCGTTTGCGTAAGTTGTACATTCGTCCTCTTCTAAAATTAATTTTGTTCGAGTCTGTAAAATATTCATTCAAGCGAATTGATCAAAATTGTTTCAACCTAGGCAGTTATTGTTCACTTGCACGTAGCCGTACGGACATATGCAGACGAATGAACCCTTAGTGTTCAAACATGTCGCCAGCGGTTTGCTGCAGTTATGTTGGCTTTCGAAACACTCATCCACGTCTGAAATATAAAATAAATTGTATTTTCCAGAAAAAAAAACATGTGAACAGATTTTTAACCAGCGCAGTAGGTGTCGTTATTGGGCGGATGTTGGTAACCAGAAATGCAGTCGCACACGTAATATGACGACTTGTCAACACAGGTAGATACCGCTGTATCGCATGCAGTTGGGATGGTTGTACACACGTTCGGCACTGAAACAAGGCGTAACTTTTTTAAATTGTTTTCAAAATATTATTAAAGTTTACCAGATATTTAGGAATTTGAAACAATCGTACTTAGTTTACAGTCATCGTTGTAGAATGATTTGCTATATCCGAGTCTACAAAGGCATTCAGTGAGGACTTTTGTTCCAATTTGGAATGTTGAACATGGGTGGATGCCACAATCGCCATTGTTTGTTTGGCAATCTTTGAATTTTCACCAAATTAATAAAATTTCCGATGTTTCAAGCCAATCAAGCAGAGCAAGAAATAATTTCAAGCACCATACTTATTAATTTAACATTATTTCAACCTCTTTGATCGCAAGAGTCTCCACTCCATCCAGGTTGGCAACATGAAGACTGGCAAGTCATATCTGTATTAAAACTGTTTGCAGCGGTGCAGTGATAAACTTCCAAACAGTTTCTAGCCGTACCAAGTTTGTTGCACACTGAAGAGATATAGAAAAAACTTATTTGAGAAAATTAAATTTTCAACTAACGTGTTTACGTGAATAAATGCTGTTCTTCAACGTTCCTCCACATGTTTCCGTTATACTCCCGGCACATTTTGAATTGCAATCACTGTCCAACGCCTTTCCATGCTTTCCATACGAGTTGCCGCAATAACAATTCCTGCCAGCCTATAAATATATTAGCCTAATAAACTTAGTAACAATTACTTCTTTAGTCGTTTAACGAAAGAACGACAGAACGGTTTGAAACCTGCAGTCCAGCGTAGAGGTAATCGTTTTGTAGACAGTACGTAATACAAGATTCAATTGTCATTGCTGGTTGATTTGTGTTGGCAAGATTGAGATCCTTATCAGAAGCAGCATCCACATCATTATAGCATCCCAAATATCCCGGAGTGACTGGAGCTGATGTGGAAAAATATTTTGGACAGGTTACTTCTAAAAATCAATTAACTTCTCATGAAAGTGAATTGTGAATGTTGCATACTTGAGTAAACAGCATTCAGTTGGCTTGCAGTACAAACTTTAGTTGTTGGATCACATTGTTGGACGCACATGGAAGACGGAGAAATATCAGAAGGAACATCGCCGCAGTTACATTGATTGTTCTGATGGGTTTACATTTTATTCTCATTCAAAACACGTTTCAAAAGTACACAAATATTATTTCTACCTTTAGTGCGGCGTAAGGATAGTTCATCTCCTGGCACATGTAGATGCATTTGTCTGCCGACGACTCTTGGAAAGTCAGCTGAATTTGAAAATTTCTGAAACACCCGACATATTTGTACGCTGGGTTTTCTGAACAATTTTGTCTTAGCACTTAATTAAACATGAACAAATTTTTAGGTAACTAAATCACATTTTGACATACCGGCTCCATAAACTTCGAGCTCAGAAAATTTCATTCCACCAGAAGTAGTTTGCGAAGCTTCTTGTTGGATAGTGACGTATCTGTAGTAAATATTGCTGGGTGTGCAGCTAACTCTCATCGGTTGGGCATCCATTGAATAACTGGCTGGCCCCAAGCCACAACTGTCATATCTGCCTGCTATTGATGCTGGTGATTTCGGATTGATGCTGTTTGAAAGTCCAACCACGAAATTGTTCATTTCAGTACCTAGGAATGATACGTGATATATTTGTAATCAGATAGACCAATCGAAATCAGATAATTTCTGACCAACCAGTTGCAGCTGCATACATTGCAATGTACAGAACTTGGTATTTTCGTGATAAATCAACTATGAAGTAGTTGTAGATTGTTGGGGCTGTTTCAGTTTGTAAGGAACAGAAGCTGGGAGTGCCATCTACACAACTGTCTGGAATGTGTGTTGAGTCCTTGTTACTCATGTAGGCCGCCTTCTTAAGAGCCACATTTTCATACTGCAGGAAGCTGGCTGTAATGACCACGTGTACTTCAATATCACTATTTTTGTTGCATGTAGATTTTTTAGACATAATTTTTTCAAATTTTTAAATTCTTTCCTAATTAACACTTATAAAGACAATTTTTGCAGAAATTAAATTAATTTCAATATTTCAATATTTTTCCTCGTAAATTAATCTGATTATAAAAATAACAATGTGGAACACTAAATGTTAGCTGACTCCAGTGACGGATCTAGACAACGTTGACGAGGACCAGAACTTGAAAAAAATTTGAAATTTATACAAAAAAGTAACAAAAGAAGCTACTGTGGGCAAAATTTTGCTTTTTTTGCTTATCATGCCTTATCACGGTTTTATTTTTAAAACGGTATTTACCGAGTAAAAGGAGTAAAAACTCAGTTTTACTGATTTTGAGTGGCAATACTGGACAACTGGGAGGCCATGATTCATCGGCTCTCCTAAATCCACCACTGGTTGACACCTCATCAAATTGTTGAGTTGGAAAACATTAAATTAATGAATTACTCAAAAAAGAGCAAGAAACAATTGTGCTACAATTTATTTACTCATTTTATTGACATTTTTTAAAATATTCAATAATTTAAAAAATTAACCGTTGGTGTAAACATCCAATTCAGCGAAATGAAGCCATATAGTGCCTTTACTTTCAGCCACTTGTATGATGACAAATCTTGAAAATTTATTTCCATCCAAGCAATCAACCGTCAGATCCAGTCCATCTCCACCAACAGTTGATGGGTACTGATTACACAGGTCGTAATTACCTCTTATTGATGATGTGTTCACAGACGGATCAAAATAATTTGTCAGTCCAACCACGAAGTTGTCCATATTATTAAAATCTAAAAGTTTGTTGATTTGAAATTTATTTCCTGTTAGTGAAGTAAATTTGGTGAATAACCTACCGTCTGCAGTAGCACAGGTCCCGGTTCGAAGCTTAATTGATTTGACTTGGTAGGCGTTCACCAAATCCACAATGAACCAACCTGGGTATTTCAAAACAAAACCGTTGTTTTCTACAGCTGTACCTGGGTTGCCATCAACACCGTTCAAAGCTGCACATGAAGAATATTGATCGCTGAGAACGGCTGGTTTTTTCAACGCCACATTTGAGAGACTGGCTGCTTTTCAGATTTCACAAATCAAAGTAACTTATAAAAATAAATTTTATCACCATGGTCATTCAAATATTGATGCCTTCAATTGAGATAGAAAGAATATATTTAAAAAATTGACAATAAATTATAATTTTAAAATAAATGCTGCCTAATTTTAGAAAAAAAAAAATTTTCAATTCATCATAAATGATCTTAAACAAATTCCCGACGCTTTAATTTCTTATCGTACGCTCTCTCTCTCTCTCTCTCTCTCTCATTCATTCTCTCTTTCTTTTTCTCTCTCATTCTTTTTTATTATATACTTTAAAAAAAATACATCGTCTACTACAAAAGCCCGACACTAATAAAAGTTACTTGTTGCAATTCGTCTCATAAAAATCTCAATGGATCTAAAGTGTAGGCACGACTAACCTTTCACAACATTGCAATTGCATAGGATGGACCAGGCCAAAATGTTGACAAGCCACAATGCCACGATGTTTTGTATTTTATGTTTTGTCACATAACAAATTAATATATATGTGAACACTGTATGATTATATTTTACTAGAAACGGTCAAATCGTAAAAATTCTTGTGCGTCTCATTACAAACAGTGTTTATAATCTTTAATTTGAATTTGCTTCCTGATGTTGAAATGATCACTTGTCATGTGAGCTACTATCAAAATTTTCACTTTCAGAATATTATTTTTTTTTCATTTTTGCTTTTTTTACCAGATAAAATTTAGCCTATCAACAATTTTTTTGTAGTATCAGGTTAACTAATTTTGACTTGTTGCTTGAAACACTCTGTTACTCGAGTAGTTAGCTATATATTTAAAAAAAATCTTAATAGAACGTGTGCACTGCTAGGCATATTTTACTTGAAATCGTCATAAGATTGAGGGATGGTAGACGGCTTTCATTGTCTTTTGGCTTCACACTTGCACTGTTTGTTGCTACCTGGATTGTTTAAACTATTTTTGGTGGAGATTTTTTATAACTTAATGATCGAAATACCACATTTTTTCCATTTTTATGGCCCAGCTGTCAAAATATCACAAATGAATAATAAACAAAAATGTCAAAATGACATCTTCTAGATATTTTACCCAGTATGACTGGTGTAGATTGAAAAAAAAATTCAATATAACACATTGATAAGTTGTTCAATACTTTCTTTTTTTCTTTCTTTCTATCTATCTAATAATCTATCTATCTATTTTAATATTTATCCATCCATCCACCTGTTCATTCATCCATCCGTCAATCTATCCATCCATTTAGCTGTCTATGTCTCTATTTTACATCTATCAAAAAACTTCTTCTACAAATGTGGCAAAATACGACACTATATCACTAGTTGAATGTAAATTATATCAAAATAGATTTGTACCTTCTTGCAACACAAGCATCTCCACGAGGCTAGCAATAATGACGACCTTAAACAACATTTCATCAAATTTTTATCGAAAAAATTCAACAAAAATGAAGAAAAATTGATAAAATCTGAAGTTAACTTTAACACAAACCCGTGCAAATGAAGTATCAAGTAAAATGCATCTCAACTTGGCAATTCAAAATAGCACACCACAAAGCTAGCTAGAAACCTAAATGAATACAATTCAGATAGCTGAATTTAAACAAAGCTATATTATTTCAAATGCTGTTTCGATTACGTTGTCTACCTAGACAAAAGTTCTAGCTATGGCCACATAGAAACACACACTATATTTTGGCCATATTTTTCTATGAATCTAGTTATATATATATATATATATGTGTGTGTGGGTGTGTGTGTGTGTGTGTGTGTGTGTGTGTTGTGTATGTTAGCGTGCATGTGTGTGTATATGTGTGTGTGTGGTCGCACTCACGACCACACACACACATGTGTATGTGTATACATGTATCTGTATTATAAAGCAATAAATTGAATTATCTTAGCAGCGTCTTGGTGCTTGCATGCCTAACGCAATTGAAACATGTCGGAGCGTACGGGCAAATATAAAAAAAACATATTCATACATCAGCACATAAACACACTTGTACATGTACAAACATACACACACAAACATATACATACACACACACATAAACACAGATACACACATGTAGATAAAAGTGATAGTATATATCTAATTATACAACATATGATTGTTTAGCTAATGCGCTGTTTAGCTAATCATTATTTATTATAATTATTATTATTATTATTTTGTTTCATAACCATTTTAGTTCTTCATACATTACTTATATCATATCAAGCTGCGCGTAAGTTTCAGGCATAGACAAAAGTATGACCAAAATTAATTTATTGATGAAAAAATAGTCAAAAATGACTCACAAGTATGAACACTAAACTTTTTTGATTTATTTAATGTAGTAGTAGTAGTTGTAGTAATAGTATTATTATTAGTAGTAATAGTGGTGGTGGTGGTGGTAGTCGCGTTAGTTGTCGTCGTAGTTGTTGTAGTAGTGGTAGTGGAAGTAGTAGTAACTCTTTTTTTTAAATTGGTTGCAGTTTGTCTTTACAATTTTTAATGGATTTGTTATGAAATTGTTGAAACGTTACATATTATTCTTGATGTTATTTAATTTCAAAGTGAGTTGCAAATAAGCCTAAAAGTTGCATTGAAACTTTCAACTTTCATTTCAAGACTATACACCATGGTTTTATCAAACTCTGATGTTATTATTCACGTGATGTTATTATTCACGTGATGTTATTATAGAACCTAGACCAAGCACCTGGCTGGCAATGCTAAACAATAGTAGCATGATAATCACACATACGTATTAACTGCATGGCTCACTATTTGAGCAGCCAATTGTTTACGTCAATCTTATTTTAAAATGCTTGCAGCTGTTCTTCTAATGTACAACTACGATGTACGCAAAATTGCTTACATTTCATACCTGACATTTTAGACTTTTGTCTTATAGGCTGTGCGTAGAGCACACACTACCTCACACATGTACACACACGTACACACACACGCGCGCACATCAAACACACTCCAAACGGAGTACATACACACACGTTGTGTAAGAGTGTGTGTTTTGAAGAGTTGGACAGCGTTTAAACCAGGCCATTACGTAATTACAGCCCGAGACATGGCATTGCTACCGACTGAGCTAACTCGTTGGCTCAAACTTATAGTAAAGTGCTTAAATGTGCAATGAACGTTTTGAATTATCTTTAGATTTTGAAAAAGTCTGCAGCTAATAGCTTTGAAAAGAATTCAATATGATCACGCAGACAGACACAAACATATATACACACATAGACACACACAGACCAAAGTATTTTTTAATTTGAATCATTAGAACCCAAAAAAATCATTTTTTTTATTTCAGGTTTGGCTAAAATAAAATTTTTAAAAATCGACGAAATTTTCGTTGCCTTTCAGCATCTTTCGATCATTCCACAGAAATAAAACTAAACACCAATTAATTAATGTGACGTAATATATATTTTCTCTCTTTTAATCTACTGCCGTTAAATTTCACAAGAGTATCCATGGTATATACTAAAACTTTTCAATAATTGGTAGTAAATCCACACCTCCCGATTAAACTTTGTTCTACAACCAAATGACTGTGACACAAATCCCAAAAGGATTCTGACTTAAGGTAGGGCAAGCAGGGCCTCTATTTCGGAATCTAAACAACACAAAATGGCTGGACAAAAACCAGTCGGTACAACGTTACGAAGAAATTCCGGTTAGTATTAAATCCATTTTACACTTATTGAATTTTTCGAATTTGTTTTAAACTACAAATTACAAATATGAAAATAAAATAGTTACCAATAAAAGCAACAGATATAAATTAATTATGATTAGAAATAAACAGTGTTGATAAACAAAAAATATTAGAAATTAACACAGATAAAATGCCGTTAGGTTAGTTAATTATGTCTGATCATCTTAAAATGATATCACACACACACGCACACACACACAGGATTTGAAGAACATAATAAAAGATATATAGATAATATACATCTTTAACATTGTAAGTGGTTCTGCGTATGTCAGAGCTGCAATAATAAAGACTAATAAAAAAAAATTATATACATATATATATATATATATATATATATATATATATATATATATATATATATATAAACAGTACCCAACATAATTGCACAATCATCACATATTAAACAAAAATTTAACCCACTGATATATTATTTAAATTGATAAAAATAAGTACAAATTAAAAATAAAAATTTGTAAAATATTATGAAAATTTTCGGTACGGTGGTGTGTAGACCTTTGATATTATGTAACTTGGACAAAAGCATCAGTTTCCAACTACTACTACTTCTACTACTACTACTACTACTAATTTAATTAGTATTTAACAACTACTGCAGTCACTATTATTGCAGCTACTACTACAACTACTGCTACTTCTACTACTGCTTTTATTTCTACCAGCTGTTAATTTCAACAGAAATTTATTAGCAAATTACGTGTTATTACTAATCATGGTATTTCTTTTACTAGATATGATTTTTTGATCTCTCGTCCAGGTGGCATCGTTGAAGTTGGGCCCAGTGTAGTCGTAATCCACATTGTCGGCGTCGTCGTTCGCCTCATCAATTGACGTGTTGTAATTAGTGGCGACGACGTTTGTGTTGTGGTAACGCGAGAGATTTGGCGGCAAGCTAGATGCCGCTTTCACAGGGGTTGGTGGAGATTGCTTGGTGTTCGATTTTGACCATTTTCCACCTATTATTAATATTATAATTATTATTACAAAAATTATTGTTATTATTATTACTTAATTATTATTACTATTAGTAATTGTAGTAATTTTGGTGGTGGTTGTAGTAGTAACAGTAGTAGTAGTCATAGTAGTAGTAGTAATTATTGTTATAGTAGTATTTGCAATAGTAGTTGTAGTGGTAGTATTTATATTTCAGAATTAAAGCCGACGCTAGAAAATCATATTTATTTTGACAAAACGTTCTATACAAATCTGACAGCGAAGACCAACTTTTGTAACAAATGTAAATGATCAATGAGATGTTTGCCAAGAGAAACACGCCCGCTATCACGACGAAAGCTATCATAACTTGTCTTTCAATTGGAACTGATGAAATTTCAGTTAATATTTTCTTATTTGCAGTTCATAATATTTTTAACATTTTAAAAAATTGGAATTTTAAAATTTGATTTTACTTTTTTTTATGTAATAATAATGTTATTTAAACCTGTCGTAAACGAACCAGAGCAAACATTGTTAATTCGTTCGTACCCGGATGAACACTGGCAAACGTAGGAACCGTTCATACTAGCGCATATTTCTGATGGTTTTTTGCAAACGAGTTTGTTGTCGGGACATTTTTCGGCACCTGGATATATGTATGAAATGCAGTCATCGTTGTAGTAGGTCTTCATGTACCCGCTCTTGCAAACACATTCCGTCAGCGTTGCAGCCCCAACTTTGAATGAATAACATCTATGAGCTGTACCACAGTTACCGTTGTTAACCAAGCAATCTGTAAAAATTTTTCCGGTGGGGAAAGAGAATTATAAGCAAAAAACATAATGAACAATTAGAATTATGAAGTCTGCAAAGATGGGAGCCGGTCTTAAGTAGAGCAAAATAAATTTAGACCAATCCTCATTAATTTTTACTAGGAAATAACTTGTAGTTTTTACGATATTTTGGAAAAAATGCAAATTTCAACAAAATGTTTGATGAACTTTTTATAGGGATTATTCCAGGAAATAAGTTTTGCTGAAAACAAATCCGTCGGTAATTAGTTTCATATAAACGATTTTCGGCTTTAGCTAGTTCACTTAGCCACTCTTTTAAAATAAGACATAAACCACCATTTGAAATTAACAAACCAAACCTCTTTTATCACAGGCATCTCCATTCCAGCCGGGGTCACAACTTTTAGACTCGCAAGTCAACCAAGGAGTGAAATTTGACTGGTTGGAGCAGTGATAGATGTCGGAGTAACTTTTGTTTGTGCCGTAAGTATTATAAACTGCGAGTTATGCATTATTCTACAATCAATTTTCTAGAAATATTTTTTATTTTAAAAAATATTTACGGAAATATAGGCTGTTAAAATATTTTCCTCCGCATTTTTGTAACAGATTTCCACCACTGCAGTCACTTTCCTTTGCTCTTCCATATTTTCCAAACGAGTTTCCACAAAAGCATAGCCCGTACTAGAATTTCATAAAACTTTCCTTTAGTTTGATGTTTCAGTTTTTGTAAAAAATATAGACGTTAAAATGATCGAAGCTGTTACAACAACCTGCAAACCGGCGAACAAGAAATTTCTCGTGTAACATTTTTGAGTGCAGGTCTCAACCGTCATTGTATCCAAGTTTAGAGTTTGAACGACGAGATCCTTATCGTCTCTATCTTGGTAACATCCCATGTACGTCCAGTTTATTGAAGGTGTCTTTGCTGAATTCAAATTTTCAATTTAGAAACAATCAATCAATCAATCAATCAATTAGCTTATAAAGCGCTATTTCCGCGATGTTCAACAGCGCTCCTCAATGAATTTTGAAAACAGATGGGTCTTGAGATCCGCTCTGAACTTCGCAAGTGATGGAGAAATAGTTAGAGAAGTAGGTAGAGAGTTCCAGAGAAAAGGACCAGAAAAAGCAAAAGCAGATTTGGCAAAAGAGTGTTTAACACAAGTTAAGAAAAAGCGAGAAGAAGAAGACGATCGTAAACCGGGGCGTTTAGGTTCAATTAATATATCTGATAAGTACTTAGGAAATAATTTAGATTGAGACTTATACATGAACGTGCAAATTTTAAAAATTATTCTATATTTTATAGGTAGCCAGTGCAAGAGAACAAGATATGGAGATATATGAGAAAAGAAAGGGGCACGAGCAACTAGACGAGCAGCAGAGTTAAAAGCTTTACTTAAAGGATAGAGTATAGAGTCAGGAAGACCATAGTAGAGCGAGTTACAATAATCAATCCTAGATAAGACTAACGAAGTAACAATGATGAAAATGAATGTGAAAAACATATTTGTAAGATAAAATACCCATATAGACGGCATAGATTGATGTTTCAGTACAAACTCCGCTCGCATCACAACTCGAAGAGCAGAAGGAATAAGATGGGTAGGGTTCCACAGGGGTTCCACAGAAACAAGTTTTTTTATCTTGCTCCATCTGTGTGGTTCAATTTGAATTGGTCAGTAGTGTTTCGATGACTTGTAAATAAATTGCACAAACTTTTACTGTAGCGTAGTTAATGTCAGACTGCTTGCACAGACTCAGACATATTTCTAACGATGATTCATTGAAAGTTTTTTGAGTTTGAAATGTTTTGAAGCAGCCATAAAACTTCTCAGTAGAGTTTTCTAAATTTATTTTTTACAAATTAAAACACATTTTTTAACAAATTAATGAAAAATTTTAAAAACCTGTGCCATAAACTTCCATTTCGCCAAATGTCAGGTCCACATTAGTGGTAGGTTGAACGATGACATACCTCGAATAAAAAGTTTTATTTGTACAAATCACTTTCATTGGCTGCTTGCCATATAAACCGATTCCTGGCCATTTTGCACATAGTTCGTAATTTCCAAGAATTGAATTTTTATTTCTTGGATCGAAATTGTTGGATAGTCCGACTTTAAAATTGCTCAACCTATCAGCTTTAGTAACGAAAATATTATAAAAATATGAAAAAATTTCATTTTCAATTATTTTTGTTAAACTAACCCAAACTACAGCAGTCAATACTCGAGAACAAAATGACGTACTGAACTTTGTGGCTTCGAACCAAGTCAACCACAAACCAGTCCGCGGGTCCATATGTAGAAAATTAGCAATAATTATCTTTGATGCCGTCAACACAGTTGCTAGGTGGATATAGCACCTCATTGAAATAAGAAGTTGTGAGAAGAGAACCAAAATATGCAGGTTTATAAAGAGCAACATTTTCATATTGTACGAGATTCTCTATGGAAATAAATTATCACGAATATAAAAAATATGAAAATTGAAAAGATTGATCGATGGTGAAGTTGAAATACGAACTCATCAAATCTAACCATTCGCATAAACTTCCAGTTCAGCAAATTCAAATTGTCTAACAATATTCAATGAATCACTATCTTGCCACTGTTGAATGATTACAAATTTCGAAAACAACTTCTCATTGGCGCAGTCGATTCTCATCGGCTGACCAGCCGTAAAAACAGTTGTTGGCCACTGTCCGCAGAGGTCATAACTCTTTTTAACGATCGTTTTGTTTACATTTGGATCGAAATTGTTGAAGAGTCCGACCATAAACATGTACAAACGGTAGTCTGAGAATATATAAAGACAATTAAATTTAATATAAACAAATTTTCCATGGCAGATATTCTGGAAAAATTTCTGCTAGCATTTTTGAAAATAGCTCAAGTCTTTGCCAACTTAAAAATTCGAATTGCCACCAATTTAACAGCTCACCTCATCTCTAATTTTTCATCAAAACTACACTTTTAAAAAGATTAATTCCCCCAAGTTTCTGAAAGCGATGCCAAAAGCATTCTTAGTAAGAATAAATTAAATAACATAAAATTACTCAGGAAATAACTAACCGCAGCCAGTACAATCTCGCCTATTATAAAGTACCACGTGTTTAACTTGATAGCCATTCAACAGGTCGACAACGAACCACGGTGGGTTATAAGAAGCTGCAATACATAATAGGTCGTTATATATATCCCCATCAACCCCGACCTGGGCAGAAGAGGAGTTGTTACTATTATAAGCCGTCTTCTTTAAAGCGACGTTTGTGTAATCGGCTAAAATAAAATTATTTCGGTTTATTAAAATTCAAAAATAAATAATTATCACTTTATCTCGGATGTACGCGAAGCACAACAATGGTCATAAAATCTTGAATAGTTTGTTGAAAATTGGCTCTTTTGAAAACTACCTTTTGCTGCTACATACAGATTTATAATCCCAAATAGAAAAACACAGCAAATAATCATTTTATAGCTTGAAATTATTTCATTTTTCAAATTAAGACCTGAAATAAAAGATAAATTCTCTCAAAGCTTTCACTTAACGACGCTACATTAAAACTGCAACTCCATTCAAATAACAACTCTCACTATGTTCCATTGTTAGCTTGCGTAACAGTTTAACAATAGCGCTAGGAAGTTTGAATGACAATTATGTACTTGTGTCATGTATGCACACACACATTTTAGACTTTATTTTTTCGACAGATAATCTTGGTTTATTTTTCAAGTTTAAGAAACTTTTAATTAAAAAATAACTATCTTTTTTCGTATATATTACTACAAATATATATTTTACATAAATTTTCTACTAAGTTTTCTAAATATTAATATCTAAATAACATAATATAATTATTATTAATACCTCTTAGGTACATTATTTAACATCAGTCGGCTGTTTACATGAGGCTTTGTATTGATTTCTTTGTTAGGTATTCGTTATGACGTATTTGGTTTTAACGCTTAACGTGAATTTTACTATTTTACCCATGTTGCTATATTTAATTTGAAGTAGTGACAAATCAGGTTTTAGCTTTGACTAGTGTTGTAATATCAATTGATTGATCAATGATTAATTGAGGTGGATAAATATTTTTTTGATTTTTAGTGTATTTGTTGAGTAAATTTTCAGTTTAGTATGATCGAAGTGGTTTTTTTAGCTATATTTTATTTTAGTAAATTTATTAATTTTTTTATTTTTAACAAAGATTTTAAAAAAATTAAGTTATCAGTGTCTCATTTATTGTTTCTTGTAAATGAATGTAAGAACTTCTAGTAACACTTTTAATCTCAAAAGAAAGAGACATACTAGAATCAAAGATAAAGCCTAGACTACGAAACTTATGAGAAACATCAAGAGTTTTAGAATCAGGTAAGATAATAGGAGGAATAGTATTAGTGTTTTTAGATTCATTAAAACAAATTAATTCAAATTTAGAAAGATTAAGTTTAAGACACATAGAGTCAGACCTAGCGATAATTGAAGAAAGACATGGAGATAGATTAAGAAGAACACTATTGAGATTGGATGGAGGAAAAGAAGTATAAATATAAGAATCTTCAACATTTTCTCGTATTTTTAAATGTAAAACAAACTTTAAATAACCTTTATTCTATTTAATGCTAAATGTGTTAACGTTGAAAATGTTAGATGTTAAGCGTGTTTAATATTAATTTGAATTCGGTTAGTTGAGTTTTAAGCTAAGAAGTGATTCGAAAAAAAAGGAATATGAATTTAGTTATATGTGTGTGTATACGTGTGGGTATTTGTGTGTGTGAGTGTATGTGTGTGCGCGTGTAGATCAAAACTCCTGCTTTTAAACTCATGAGAACGTCTCACTGGTACATATATTAACTTCAGCCACTCCTAATTAAAAAATAGATTAATTGACTAATTGAATTATTAATTAAAAATAAACTTGTTTTATTGTTACAAATTATAAACTGGAAAAATTATAAAAATGATAAAAATTAATAAGAACCAATTACTAATTATAAAGTAGTGATTGGCATTCGAGAAGTTGACTGAGTTATACACAATACTGCGTGCATTCATAGGCAGTTGTTCAATGTTCAATGTTCATCTTTGTGAGATTGTGTGTCATTGGGATGAGGTAGTAGGAAGTTGAAAAATTTTTCCTTATGAGCTGTATTTTAGAAAGGATTTTCTTGATTTTCTTCTAAGAGTTCTAAAGCAGAACTCCTTAAATCATTTCATCTGTTTATATAATTCAAATTCATTAATATAAGTAGAGAATTTTTCAGAAATTGAAAATCCAATTGATATTTAATAGAATTTAATAAAATTCCAAAAAATTTTAAAAAAAATAATAAAAAATATCACCCCTTTCGAAAATCCACCAACCATCCTTTTTAAGGAAATTCATCGCAACGCAAACTTCACAATATGATAGAAACAAGCTCTCAAAACACCGTAAAAATTTTTTACTCTAAAAAACACATTCTCAAATACTATTCTGTCTAAAAATTTAACATACATATTATATTCCACACTGATTTCATGTTTTTTTTTGTCAAGATTAACACGTAGGCAAAGGTAGCTTATAAATAGGCAGCCAACGTGTTACGGCTTGCTAGTGCCACACAGCTTCAATTGTTCTGGTAGTAGACACGAATTCTGCGCACTGAAGCCTGTCTGGTGAACAACTAACTACACAGTCGTTCTTTGACTCTGCTTTAATTTTGTAATTTATGTAGAAAATTCAAAGGTGCAAATGAATGGTTAGTGAAAAGGTTTTTCTTTTTAGAAATATACTAAATCTGAACTGTTTTTCGAAATTTGTTGATTTTTTGATGTATTTTGAGGGTTTCTAGGTTTGAAAATGTCAGTTTATATATATTTTTAATGAACTTAATCGTTGAAATGATCGAATTTCATCTCGTTTCAACAAAGAAACAAATTCATAGAGGAGTCTTCTATATAACAAACAGCTTAATGTTAGATGTTTTCTCATTGGGCTTACAACGTTCCGCAAGTTAGTGCATACCTTTTACAAAAACCTTCAAAATTGGCAGGGGTAACTGTGTATATCATCAGCAAATTTGACTCTTATTCACACATTTCGAAAGTAGCCTTACTACAAACGAGTATCAAACGAGTATGTGTGTGTGTGCGTGCGTGTTTGCGTGCGTGTGTGTGGTGTGTGCGTGTGTGTGTGTGTGCGTGTGTGTGTGTTGTTGATTGATTGATTTAGTTGATTTAGTATTTTTGGCTTATCTTACGTTTTTTTAATTAAAATCATTAATTTTTGTGAAAAATATTTGATATTTCTCATTCATAACAACGATCTGGTGCCTTATATGGTAGGTGAGAACTTTTGATCATTGACACTTTTTTCTGGTTTTTGGAAGGTTATAATGGTATATAAACTAAAAATTCTAATATATCTAACCATGTATCTTGTATTTTTACAGTTATAATGATGGCTAAGTCATGGAAACTTTGCGAGTAATTGATTTATGGAAAGAATGTTCCGAAAAAAATCGTTCATTATACTGTTATTTAACCCTAAATATATCTAACTGTCTATCTGTTTGATTGTATCTGCCTGTCCGAATCTCTCTCTCTCTCTGTCTGTTTATCTATCTATCGAGTATCGTAAATGATATCTTTTGATTTCTTGAATTAGTACAAAATAAATTATTACTCTCGAGTTATTCAATTGTTTTCAAGATGAACATTATGATATAAGTTACGACGAAATCGGTTGATTCTCGGCTGTTGTAGGTTTTGATCATTTCATCTCATGTAGTTTTTGATAAAGAAAACAACCATTGCGTTATGAATATTTCTTTTACTATCTAATAAAAAGTAATAATGTACTAGTCTAAATTGGTTTTACCCTTTCAAAAATACCTGTTAACAGAAAATACCAAAAGCAAAATCATACCCCAATGTAAGAATAATGTTAACGTGTGAGTTATATTAGTTGTAAGTAATAGTAAAAATGTCAATATCGGAACATTCAACAGCTAAGAAAATTGTTTTAAAGTTGTAAAAATAGTATAAAGATTAAAAATGCTTGTCCAAAAAAGTACATTATATATGATTCTGTAAGCAAAGCGTTTTTTTATTCAGTATGCAATTTTATATTTGGCATTTTGAAAATCTTTTTGGCTAATAAATGTCTTAACAAACTGTTAATAATGGTTTTATTATATGGAAGGTTATAAATCGCGAATAAAATGTTTTAAAAGAGTTAAATGATAGAATATCAAGTAAACAGCCAAGGATTGTTTATTTAAAAATATATCACCGATGCAAATAAATACTTAATTTGAGGATTCAAATATTTAAAAAGTTTAAAAATATTTCTATTCTAATAAAATCATTTAAAAAGAACATTATAATGTAAGTTTTGTTACATTGTAAAGTTCTTCAGCTTCGTTACTCTTGAGAGGTTTGCCTTGGCCAGTTGGGATTGATTGGAGGCAGCAGAGTAAGCTAACACGCTTATCAACGTCAGGATGACTGCTCCAAAAACTCCGATGAACGCAAACAAGAGGTTTCTCTCTCCTGAAACTAAAAACGAAGCACGAAGCATGTCTGAAATGTGTAGTACGAAGAATGATTAATATTCATGAAAAGATATAGCACTCATGCTGTCAAAACTGTCTCGTAGTTGGTTGAAAGATTTGAACAGGTTCGTTTTAACTTACCACTCCATTCTTTTAATAAGATAATGTTTATACAACAAATTTAAAAAAAACTTTTACTTGAATTATCGAACAAATTTTTCGCATCAAAAAATGTTTCAATGATCATGATTTTAAACTAATAATTTGATATTTCAAACCAAATATTTGCTGCTCTACCTGGTCTTTATTAACGCTGAACGTCCCCACGTTGTTCACGCATGTCGAGATGGCGGTGTTACATGCGTTTGCGTTTTTCACGCATTCGTTTATGTCTGAAATGTGTAGTGCGTTTTAGGAAGTTTGCCCAATTAGCAAATCAAACAGGTGCCATGTCATCTTAACTCAGTTAACAAATCAAACAAAAGTCTTCTTAGCTCAGTTAGCAAGTTAAACAAGTGTCATCTTGGCTTACTTAACAAATAATTAACGGTTGGCAAGTGAAAATGACAAAACTGATGATCGTAAGAGAGAATGAAATGCAGAAACTAATGAGACAGAGGCACGACTGTTAAGTTAGAATCAGTACTAATACATTCCCGCACAGTCCAACCTTCACAAGTCCATTGGTCCTTGTTCTGGAAGCCACTGAAGCACGAGCAGTTGTACGACCCAATCTGGTTGAAGCAGGTTGATGTTTGAGGATCACAAAGACTCGTCGTGTTCAGGCATTCATTTATATCTGTGCGGTGGTTTAATGCTGCTGTATTCAGGATGTTCATATTTTTATTTAATACGCACCTTTGAATGCAACTGCAACGAATGAAAATCGAAAAATGTATTCTAATAAAATGTTTGACTCAATTGAACACGGTTTCTATACAAAAAATAATATGAATGATTTGAATCAAACACAAGTATAAATGTATATAATAATGATTAGAAATATTACCATCACATGTCCATGGGTTCTTGCTGTAGAATCCGCCAAAGCAGTTACAACTGTACGTCCCAACTTCGTTCACGCACGTTGAAGTTCTGTTGTCGCAGTGTCGCTGGCGTTGTTCGTGCATTCATCTTCGTCTACAAATGTTTTCATTTCAATTTACAAAAGCAAGTTTGAAAAATTTTTTTCTATGTTTAATATATTTAAACAGTTTTTACGTCAGTAGATGGATATAAGCCTCAAAAGTGTGAAAACACTGCAAGTTAAAAAGTGTTGTGGCTCGACTTTTAAAACATTTCAAAATATTCAAATTTTTTCGATACATAAATAGAAAGATGAAACGGTTTTGATTGAATTCTAATTTTCACAGTCAAATTTTGTGATTTACAATGCACAATATATAATTGAATTGACAAATCATAATTTAAGCTGGCTGTAATGACCAAGTGTACTTCAATATTGTATTCACTATTCTTAATACATGTAGAGTTTTTTAGACACTATTTTTTCAATATTTCAAAACTAATTTAAGGAAATATATTTAATCAAATTAATTATCAATTAAATAGTTATTAGAGTAACCAATAAATTTAATTAAAAATTAAATTATATAAAAATTCTAACCAAACTCAAAAGTCTGAGAAAGATTAATTGCATATTTGATGTAAAGAGATGTGTGTGTGTGTGTGTGTGTGTGTATACGTATGTGTGTGTTTTATGTTGTGTGCACATACGTGTGTATATACAATACACGCACACATACATGCATGTATTTATGATAATGAATTCATATTTTTTATCATTAACTATTATTATTATTATCATTGTATTATTATTATTGTTATTATTGCTATTCTTGTATTATTATTATCATTTTCATTATTATTATTCTATTATAAATTTGTTTTAGCGTTAGTATGTTGTTAGATGTTCTTTCTCTAAGTGCCTAAGACTGCGTGTATGTGCGTGTAACTTATTCAACGAAAGCCTGTCTAATTAATGAGATGATTTACTTATCACTCGTAAATAATATTCAAAATTATTAAAATGTGATTTTATTTTAGTGTTCAAAAAATTATTTTCAGATATTCATTACTACGCAATCAATTATTTTATTATATCATGTTCAATCTACCCCAATTAGTTTATAAAGTGCTATTTCCGCGAAGTTCAACAGCGCTATTCAATGAATTTTGCAAACAGATGGGTCTTGAGATCCGCTCTGAACTTCGTGAGTGATGGAGAAGTAGTCAGAGAAGGAGGTAAAGAGTTCCAGAGAAAAGTGCCAGAAAAAGCAAATGCAGATTTGGCAAAAGAGTGTTTAACACGAGTTAAGAAGAAGTGAGAGTAGAAGACGATCGTAAACCGGCGAGTTTAGGTTCAATTAATCTCGCATTTATATTTGGAGTGTTTTACCAAAAAGTAGTCGGTGTTTGTACACACACACACACACACACACACACACGCACGCACACACACACACGCACACACACAAACACATCAGCACACCACACAAGCACCACACAAACAAACACAGACTTGTTAGCAAAGTTATTCTGTCAGACAATAGACATGACTCGCACAGTTATCTACAAAATAGTTACAGTAAAACAAAAGATATACAATAACAGGCACACCAATAGCTAGTCAGTGCAAAAACAACGTCAGGTAAGATAGTATAACAATACTTAGATGAAGCGTTCATTAAGTATTATACATTGTTTGCAACTTTGAATAAACCTTCGAAGCTTCCATATTTCAATGAGTCTCGTAACAGTTACATAGTTTATCTTGCTAAATATCTTAAATTGTCTCTTTTGATCATTGTGTTTAGGTATGTATATGTGCAGTTATATTAGTGTTTGTTTGCTTACCTATGTGTCATATTATATCTGTGTGTGGGTGCGTCTGTGAGTGTTTGTCTGTATTTTTTGTTAATTACTTTTTATGCGTGTTGAATCACAAATATGGTAAATTTTTGAAGAGAATGGATAAACTGGTAGTCGAACCAACTATTATACTTTTACCATTTCCTTGCAAATGTTCTAGACAACACCGGAAAAGTTTTTTTTTCATTTATTAATAACACGAATGATGTCACACATAAAGGATGGAATATTTCAAATGGAGCATGTTCCTCCAAAGAATTATACAAAAAAAACCTTGAAGTGTTAGAAATGTAGATGTCGGTATTTAGCTGTGAGAACTTAGGTTTTTAAAATTTGTGATTGATTGATTGATTGGCTGGTTGATTGATTGGCTGGTTGGTTGATTGATTGATTGGTTGGTTGACTGACTGACTGACTGACTGACTGACTGACTGACTGACTGACTGACTGACTGACTGACTGACTGACTGACTGACTGACTGACTGACTGACTGACTGACTGACTGACTGACTGACTGGCTGGCTGGCTGGCTGGCTGGCTGGCTGCCTGGCTGGCTGGCTGGCTGGCTGACTGATTGATTCTATGTGATTGTTGTATGATTACTCTAATATTAAACTTCAGCATGATTAAGGATTATAAATTTGTTATAAAACTATAAAAATTACTTTGTTTCAATCTACTTCAATTTTGCTTGATAAGTTAAATAAATACACTACCCTTTTTACTGTAGGCTTTCAATAAATATCTTAGTTCTTTGCACAACATTGCGATAATTGAGTTTATAAATATAAATTAACTTTTCTTATCTCATCTCATTTTTTAATTCTAACTAATTTTATATATTATTTTTAAAATATTAATTATTTTTTTTATTTATAATTTAATTTGGATTATTTGGTTTGGTTTTTTTGCAAAAGAGCAGAAATGTCATTCAATGAAGTTAGTTTGAATTTCCCTGATCAATTGTGCCCACATTCGAAAAAGAAGAGGTTATATTTCTACGATTACGGAACCCCGTTCTTTGTGGACGTCAGTTTGGGAGTATCGGAATCCGGCGATTCGAAGGTAAATTTTGTCCCCCAGAGGTGTTTCAAATGTCCTAACACGGATCATACCCTGGCCGCCCAAAATCCTACTCTACCTTTGATTCCACCAAACAACTGTACGCATTCTAGTAAAATAATATTTTTTAAATTAATTTAATTAATATTTTATCTTCTTATAATGTTATTTGTTTCTTTGTCATTTTAATTCAGTTACTTGGCTTGAGAATAAAATCTGTAATTGTAATGTAATGTTTGTAATTTGAGTTTAGTTTGACTCTGTAACAGTTACAGAGTAACTAAACTTAGAGCTGGGCTAGTTAAGGCAGGGTATGAATTTTGATTTATTTATATTAATGTATTCTTTCTATCTATGTAAATATTTTTTAATTAATATTATTATTATATTATTTCAAATTTTCAAAGTTTGATTTAATTTTTTTTTAAATTTTTTTAGATAAAGATATAAGCGAAGAACCTTGTCTACATGTGTACATGCACAATTACAAAGAGACCCAGAGGCTGCTTAGAAACTTGAAAAGATTTGTTAATTACATAAATGTATGTCATGGTGTTTTTTTAATTTTTTATCCTTTAATTATATTTTAATGGTTCCTTTCAATTCAAATTTGAAAAATATCTTTCTAATGTTTTGTTCATTTTCTTTTTGTATTATTTTACATTTCAAAAACTTTTTATCAAGAAGTATTTCACTGAATAAATTTTATTATTTTAAAATTTAATTCTGAAAAAAAAAACTTGATAAACCTGAACAACCGATGCAGATTTAGGATTGGTGAAAATATTAATGATTAAAATGAAAGTAATAATGACGAATGAAATGTCTTCACGTTTATATCTTATTATTAAATTATAGGACAGAAAAAACACTAATTTATAAATAAATTATTTTTATCCCCAGGGCCAAAGATACCAAATGAGGAAAGTGGTAAAGACGCAGTTGAGAAAAATAAACAGTTTGAGAGAATTAATCCAGAAACAGCCCACGCCGGCCAACAAGCTGGCCCTAAAAAACCTTGTCTCCAGCAACTCTAACCACTTTTACTTGACTTTCTTCAAGAAAATGACTCTTAGTAGCTGGAACATCATTAACAATCCAACTGTCATTAAACAAAAGGTATCACAGAATGGATATTTATTTAGATTGTTTTTATTATTATTGTTAGATATTCATCGTTTATTTGTTATTGTTAAAATTATTTTTATTTATTAATAATGTGAGGTTCATGATTTTTTCTTTCCTTCAATTTTTAAGCCGTACAACGAGCTATACAATGGCGGTTGCCTAGCCTACCAGCCGTCCGATCAGAATGAAGACATCGTAGTCCCATTCATAGCCCATCCAACTGGTCCTAACATGTCTGATATAGGTGGGCGTTGAAATCATGTTATACCTAGACTTTTTTTATTTAACTTTTTTTCTACTAAAATTGTAATACTATGTAATGAAGAGTAATTTATGTAATGAGATGTGATGTAATAGTCAAATATGCTAGAATTAGGTGTCGTCAGCTTTTGCCTAGATTTGTTTCCAGTTGTTTCATTGAGTTTAAAATATAAGAAAGATGCATGTATGTATGTATGTATGTATTTTCTTTCTGTCCTGGAAAGATAAAATCAAATATTATTATTAATTTATTTATTTTGATGAAATTCTTTGTCATAATTATTCCTCATTGTGCGATCTATAACAACAATTGAATAACAGTATTTAGAAACGCTACTGCCACCAATGGCGGCAGTAGCAGCAGCTACTATAACGACGACAGCGACGACGACAGATTACCAACGATTATGAATAGATTAGAGTCAGCGAAAAAGACACTATATATTCACGAAGCTGGGGATCGAATTGTACAAGTTGACGCTAATTCAGTCCAGGGATTTACATTCTGTAAGCTAATAGATTGATGAGTTAACTTGATGACTGATTCATTGTGTAACTGATGAAATATTTGATTGATTGAATATTTGATTGATTGATTGATTGAATATTTGATTGATTGAATATTTGATTGATTGATTGAATATTTGATTGATTGATTGATTAATTGAAAACAATAGAATTATTATTTCCAGGTGCTTACCGGACAAAAAATAGCGTTTCACTTTTAAACGTGGCGGAGTTGAATTTAAAGAATGCGGATATCAACTTATCCACCAAACAGACTTTCACAACAGACATCTATCCTACGCATGTTTCTATAAGGTTTGGGTGATTGATTGGGCTGATTGATTGATTGACTGATTGATTGATTGATTTATTGATTGATGAAATAATGATAATAATTATGATATATATTTATTTATTCATTATAAACAATAAAATAATTATATCACTAACAATTTTCAGTCCTTATTTGGCTGGGGAGATGGTCGTAACATCGAACGATGGTCTAGTTTACCTATGGTCCCCTGATAAAATGTTATTGTTGTTGTTATTATTGTTGTTATTATTATTATTATTGTTATTGTTATTATCATTGTTGTTGTTGTTCAATCAATTAATCAATCAATCAACCAATCAATCAGTTGATTTGATTGAGAGATATTCAAGAAGGAAACAATCAACAATGCAACTGAGGAATTCCTGTGTCTTTATTCAATGAGAAGTCTTCAATCACAGGATTCCAAACCGAAAAGAACACCACACACGCGCACACACGCACACATGCTTGCACACACGCACACACTGTTATTATTTTTTATTCTTAGGCCACGATTAGTGCATTCTATGGTTAAGGACAACGCGAATAACATGAATTGTAATGTCTATGTTTCCTATTGTTCCTTTGGTTCTCACCCAAGAAGTATAATTTTGGCGAGCGATGATCTCATATCTATGGTTGATATTAGAGTTAGTTTGAATTGTGGTGATATTAATTAATTTAATGTTTTTTTACTTACGTTCTTCGATGCATGTAAGACTGATTAATAATTGATTAATTGATTGATTAGTCAATTGATTTTGATTGATTGATTGATTGATTGATTAGTCGGTTGATTTCGATTGACTGGTCGGTCGATATTATGAATTAAAAATGTAATCTTTTTTATTTTCAATCATGAAGACACCGAACAGTAATTCGACTGCACTACTGCACACAGATGGGGACCATTTCCACAGCAAAGAATATATAACTTGCTACCATAGACAACAAAATTATGATAATAACTACTCCTATTATCACTTCTTTAGTACTCAAAATACCATAGGGTTAATCGACGAAAGATACCCTAATCATTTGGTTAGTATTGACATATTTGTGTTATATTTTAACTACAAAATGTTATTATAATTATAATAATTATATTATTCACGATAATTACCAGCATAGAAATAATAATTTTCATTGGTGGTGTGTCTGGTGCGAATGTAAATTCGTACCTGAGAGTGAAGCAGGCTACAAATCGCGGGAAGTTCTATAATCTTTTTTTCTCTCAGGTGCTAAGGTGGAATCACACATTCCTAACGGCCCCCACCCTCATGACGTCATCCCTAAAATCAGTGATGGGCGTGCCACAGGAGAGGCTTCTAGTGGCTGCCTCTCAAGAACACAGTGAGGCCCATTGCTTCCAGTACCATACAATAAGTCTGTGACACATTTATTGTTATATTATTATTATTATTTTTATTATCATTACATAATTATTATTATTGTTGTTTTTGTTGTTGTTGTTGTTGTCCAGGTCAAGGTTTTCAGTATGGTGGTAGCAGCAACGACAGTAAAAATATTTTTGGGTTTTCCCAGCAAAAGTCAAGGTCGTCGTCCAATCACGTCCAAGCGTGTGGGCTCCCTTGGAAATGTTCCAAGCCCAGGTAGCAATAATAATAACAACAACAACAACAATAATAATAAATAATAATAACAATAATAATAATGGATAATAATAACGATAATAAATAACAACAGAGATATCCTAGCTTACTCTTCGTACAACGGTCGAGATACATTCAGCAAGTTGTTCTCGCAGCGACTTGAATGCCCTACCGTTGGCTTGGCCATCTTGCCTGTTAAAAATAATTCATTTGATCATGGAGTTTCCATCGTTCAGGTGGATTTTTTATGATTGCTGTTGTTGTTGTTGTTGTTAATGCTGTTGTTGTGGTTTTTATTAGTTGATGTTGTTTGTTAATCATTCGTTTATTTGTTGCCTGTCCATTCATTCAACCATTCCATTGAGCCAATCTATCAATCAGTCAGTCAATCATCCACCAACCAACCAACCAATCAATCGATCGATCAATCAATCAGTCATCAAGTACAAAATGTTCCCACACAGATGTCATCAGTCGGCGATCTCTACTACCAGGACTATTACCTAGCAAAGAAACTAAACACCAAAGACAAAACATTCAGCGCCGGTCCAGGAAGCCAGGATCTGACGGCCAGTCCGGATTATCAGGAAGCCTCTAGCCATTGGATGAATGAATGTTACGATCTCTCCATCGAGGATTTTGTTTCTAAAAATAGAGTGGAAGATGAAAGTGAGAAGCTGGACACTCTCCTTGGAGCCGTGGACCTCGAAGGGAAAAAGTACCTAACTTCGGTTGATGCTGAATCCGTTTTCGATGGTCTGTTTTTATTATTATTATTTATTATTATTATTATTATTTTTGTCCATAATCTTTTTTTTATAGATTTGAAAGAAATAAATGCACCCCACCTTAAATGTCGACTCTGCAGTGAGGATGATGATCATGATGTCGACGGGGATGATGATAATGATGACGTGGAAGCTGCTACTGCTGCTGCTGATGGTGGTGGGGATGATCGTAGTGATCGTGATGATGATGATAGCAAAGATGGCGGTACTAGTCACGGTGATGACGTCATCTGTCCGAGGTGTAATGTATCAGTGAGTTTGTCTCGAGATATATTGAGGTCGTGTTTAGGGGTAAGGATTTTTTCCAATGTAAAATTATTTATTCATAATTATTATTATGATTATATTTCGAAAAATATCTTCAATTGATTGATTAATTTACTATTTAATTGGTTGATTAATTAATTAAACAAATCATTAAATACAATTTCTAGAACACAATCATGCCGGCAAAACATCCAGAAGATGCTAATAAGCTAAGCTCCTTCATTCCGACCGTAGATAGTTTGGAACCCATCGACACAGATGGTAAAATTTTGCTCTGTGAATATCTGGGGAGGTCCAATTTGAGAGAATTGCTAGAAGAGAGAGTAAGTTTGTGTGTGTGTCTGTTTGTTTGTCTGTCTGTTTTTTGTTTTGTAGGATTTGTACAGCGCTTTTTGTAAATTGAATTCAGAAGTTTGTCTGTGTCTGTTCCTCTGGTTGACTGACGGTCTCTGTCTGTCTGTCTGTCTCTGTCTGTCCGTCGTATATGCTGTATACATAGCTTTTGTTATATTCAATTGGATCTTCTCTTTTTTTTCATTTCCAGGACAAAGAAATCAACCGAGTTTATGCTGAGATGTTAAAATCAGATGATGAAGATGATGATGACGACTATGATGATAAAGACGAAAATGATCATGATAATGATGGTAGTAATATAGGAGATGATGGTAGTGATGATGAGGTAGATAAAGACGATAATGACGTAAACATTGACGAAAGAGGCGATAGAAAACATAGAAAGAGGAAAAACTCAACTGCAAATGATGACGACACGAAGACGGCACAGACTTCTGATGAAATAATGAGGCAATTGGAATCTATGAAAGTTTCGAAAATTACACCAGAAAGTACATTATCACCAAATTTTAAATTAGAATTAGGAGTTGATAAGAGTAAAACTTGTAAATCAACAAGCAAAAAATCGCTCTCGACAGCTTCAAACGTTAAAAATTTGAAAGCTTGTTCTCCCTGCGTTGTAAAAACTGTTTCTCCCTCTCCAAAAGTTTGTGATCCTCCAAAAGTTTGTGATCCTCCAAAATTTAGTGAGCCTCTGTTTGGTAGCCCAAACGTCAGTGAAGCTGCTGCTCTTTCTCCCCGAATTAGTGAGGTTATTTCACAATCACCAAGACCATTTAGTCCGCTTTCAAGTAATTTAGTCGGCAGTTCTCAACTTAAACGAAAAAATACTTCACCGGCTACTAAACAACCACCCAGTAAGAAAAAGCTTAATTATGTTGCCGGGTTTTGAGATAACCGAATAGTCTTTCACTCTTTGTTTTGTTTTGTATATATATTCTGTTGAGTACATTGAAAGTATTATCATTAAAAAGTTGTTTTGTTTGCATTTAGTTAACGATTCGCGGTGCTTCATCCTAGTGCAATGCCATATATAGACTGAAGGATGAGGCATTCGTAGTTCGTGTTTCTAGAAATAAGTCGAGAGCTTCGTACAATGTTTGCTTGAGTAATTTCACAACTTTGTACGGTCTAATGTACGACTTGAATCGTCGCTTGATGATGCTTCGTTCGCAAATAGGTTTTTTATTATACAATAATATATATACTAATTATATGATATATACATTCATAGCAAGGATCCAAAGATCTTACATTCTGGCCTATTTATTTATGTGTTTATCAGCGATAATTGGTTTGTTCAAATGTTGTTACATGTTTTTAAAGCCTGAAAGATGTCTACTAAGCGATTCTTTGTAAATTTTGCACAAATTGCATACAAAAACTGTCATAATGAAAATATTATATACTCAAAAAACAATTTTTTCTTAAGTTTTTACAAAAACTTTTTTCGGTGTTATTTTTCTTGTCCACGACCGTGCCTGAAAATCAGTCAGAATCTGGGCGCTCCTCCTACTAACATTTTAACTAATCCATTTGGGAACAATCAACGATGGTGTGGCCATCACTGCATAACCCACCAGGATTGTTGGAAGTGCGGTCGATCAATTGAACCAGACATGGAACAGTACTTTTGTGTCTGTGGTGTTGTTCAACCACCTCTGGAACACAGAAGTTTCTTTCAGATTTTTGGAATTAAGGAAGATTTCGATATTGATTTGAAGTATCTCAATGAAAAATACAGAAAGTTACAAGTCATACTTCATCCAGATAAATATAGTCAAAAATCTGATGTTAGTTTTTTATTAATTTTAAATTTTTAAATATATTTTAAATAAAAAACTTAAATTTTAATGACAGATATGCCAAAATTTCTATATTTAATCAAATATTTTACATATTTCAGACAGAGAGAGGATTTTCAGAAAGGCATTCATCGCTGGTAAATGAAGCATACAACACATTACTGAAACCACTAAGCCGGGGCCTGTACATTTTGCATCTGAAAGGTGAAGATTTAGAAAAAGAGGTTCAAGTTGAAACAGAATTTTTAGGTGAAATAATGGAGTTGAATGAATCAGTGATCGAAGCAGAAGATATCAATGCACTGAGGTCCATTGAAACATCAACTAATAAAATAGTCAACAATTTGATTGATGAGATTTCGCACAATTTTAAAGACAAAAACACGAATTCTGCAAAAGAGAATTTACTCAAGTTAAAATATTTACTAAATGTGGCTGAAAAAATTCAAGATTTGATCAGAGACAATCATTTTTAAATGTTTTGCTATGTTATTTAATTTGTTTATGTATCTATTTAGCCGTGGTTAATTGTACATTGTAGGGTAATTGACTGTTAATAGACTGTTCACCACCATTAGGAATCAATGCATACTAATTTGATTTTTAATAGAGTGAAATGATCATGCTTCAATCTGTGTCCGTTTCATCTGTAAGCTAGAGAAATTTGAAAAACATTTTGTTTAAATAAAAAACGTTATCCAAATATTTTTAGCAATATAGATGTGAACCTCAATAAATTTACTTAATTACAAATGTTAAGAGGAAGGTTCAACTTCTGCTTCAGAAAATTTACTCAAATTGAAATGAATAAAAGTAAACAAAACCACCTTTTTATACATGGACTCAGATATTGATTTGAGGCACAAGGACTCCTCAATCAGTTCCTTGATCATCTTCTTTAGATGCTGATTATCCTTCTTCTCCTTGCATAGCATCTTTGAAGCCAGCTCGTTCTGTTCTGCTATCTGGTTGTCTTCCAACTGCAAGTAGCACTTCAGGTGCTGTATATTTACATTCAGAAGTTAATTAAGGTTTTATTTTAAAAATTTAAGATCAGGTTATAATTTTGTCATTATACATTAGCAAATGTGTAACCTCGATCTGATCCATCAAATACTTCTTCCTCTCACGCAAACTGGATATCTCCTTTAATTTAATTTTAACTTGGATTTCAATTTTTTATTTTAATCATTTCATCTCGACAAATTACCTCTTGCAAACTCCGCAGCTCACAGCATAAGGATTCATAGGCATCCATTTATTATAAAAAGACCTCAATTGAAAAATGATTCGCGATTTAATTCAAGTAGGAGTGCATACCAAAACAAATGACATATCTCAATTCGTTCATTATTAATGAGGAATTGGTGTTAGGCTTTGTTGATTGGGGAATGGTTTTTTTTTTATTAGTTCGGATGTAGGGCTGTTATGTTATTAAAAGGAGGGTAATATTTTGAATAAACAAACAAATGTAAATATAAACATTTATGACGTCACTAACAATAAACAGTAGACCTAAAGATTTTTGTTCAAATTTTTACTTTAAAATGAAAAACTGACAATGAATAAACGTTAAAGAATGATAACTTAGAATATTTGAAGGTTTTATTCATTATAATTCAGAAAATTTTGGCAGCTGGTTAGGCAGAACAGTCATCCTCTCAACTCCATCTTTAGTGATTGTGGCCAACCTGACAAACCCGCCACTGGAGCCGTCCCTTCCAATTGCCAGAGTGATAGCTTGAATGTTTTAAACCATACTTATGTTAAGATTGCGTTGATACAATATATCAAAAATATCTATCTAATTCAACATTTATTATTAGATATAAAGAATAACATTTTGTATCATGATTAAAGATAAATTAAAGAAGTTAGGTAAAATTTTTCAGTATGGAAATATGCATCAACCAAATTACATTGGATTCATAGGTACACAGAGTTTAGACATACAAATTTTAAAAATTACAAAATAAGAACTAAGAACTATAGAAAATCAGTAAAGAGAAAACTAAATTGGAAACCAGATTTTAAGGTATTCAATCGAAAAGATTTAAAACTAAGTACCATTAGCAACAAATTCCTGACACTCCTTAACAGACATCTTTTCCTTGTATGTAGCATCAACATAACCATAGATATACGTGCTTCCAGAGCCTCCAATAGTCACTGGCTGCCTAATACACATGCCACCAAGTGGAATACAATAAACCTTAAGGATGAAATTTAATTTAAATAACAAAATCACCTGTTTTTCAAAAAGTAAATCTGAAAATTTATTCAACTTAATTGAATAAAAATCTAAAAAAAATGTGTGTACAGTACATACCTGTCCTCCGTGAATATGATCCCAACCAGCACAGATGATCCCAGCTGACATCTGGTCCCTGTAGTTGTAGCACAAATCCTGAAATATCTTTGCTGCTGTCTTCACTAATGGCTCCCCACCAAACTCTAATCTGAAAAAGATGGATAAAATCTTTTAAAAAATAGAAAAATAATATTAAATGAGATGAAATAGCTCATCTTGAAAGATATTCATTAAAATTAAACTTTTATAATTTAAAAATAATATGTGTTAAGAAGTTAACAGCGAAGATGTTAACTTGTGAACAGATAAGTGGTAGCTGACAACATCAGAGATGGCTTGGGTGTCAGCAGAGGAACCAGATTTGCAACAATATATCGTTTCTGAGACCTTTGTTAGTTTATCAGTTATTCTGTTGTACACATAACTCCTGAAAAATAAATTTAATGTGAAATATAACTTAATTAATAATTCCAAATAGAAAATTTTAAAATTAATCAAAATATGAAAAATATATGAAAAAATCAGAATCAAGTTTATCTAAGCTAAGATATTCCTGGGCAAATAGTGAAAAATATTTCTCAAAGAGCTAACTAAATGACCCTACTTACCCCGTTGTGGTTCTGGTATCGGCTCCAATGACGACACCTCCATCAAACTCGACGGCCATTATGGTTGTCTTGAAGATTTACAAAAATTAGTGAAAATTTTTAAATTTGAATTTGAAAAAACGATCGTAAAAAAATTAACAAATCACCCCTGTTTTTGCCTCCCCTAACCAATCCATTCCGTAACTATCTGCCGGACAATTTTCAAAAATTTGCTCGGTAATAGCAGCCATTTTATCGCTCACTAGTAGACAAAATAATTTTAAAGTCACAAAAACATAGATAACTAACAGAAAACAATTTCTACGAGTACCGCAACAACGGTTGCTAATGTAAATAGGAAGTGAATTTATGCAATTAAACGTATTTATTTACTAAATTAATTGATTATTTAACAAAATAACAGTTGAAAATGAGTGAAAATTTAAAATTCATAGTTAGTGAATTGAATAAACCACCATTTAATCGAAATTTTAGTTTGATTAGTTTCGATTCCCTAGAGGAACTATCGCTCCTTCAATTACTGACTGACATTTTTGCTGAAATAGAACCATCGGTAGAGAGATAATTTGTTATTTAACTTATTAATTTTTTCATTAATTAATAAATTTAATTAATTAGTAATTAATCAATTTAATCGATGTTGGTGTAATAAAGTTTAATTAATTAATTAAATTTGGCAATTTAAAAGCAAAAATTAGACGTTCGAGATGAAACCCCAGACGCCACGGCAATCAGAATTTTCCAGATGCTCCGTATTTTTAAATACAAAATCCCGGCAAACGATCAGTAAGAAAATAATAATAACTATTACTAATATTATTATATTATTTCAATTATAATTAAATATTAAATAATAAATTGCTAATAATAAAATGGTGATATTAATACAGAAATGCGTTCAGGCAAGGTATTGTTGAGGGCAAGAAACTAACTATACATCCGATTATGGCTTGGGTATTAGGTGATTTAATCTTTCATTAATTCATTCATTATTTAATTCATTAATTAATTCATTCATTTATTCATTCATTCATTCATTCAATCATTCGTTCATTTATACAATTGTTCGTTAATTTATATTTTCGCCCTTTCATTCATTGCATCAATTAAAAATTAATTCCTCATTCACTTAACGAATTTACCATTATATTACAAAGGTTTTAAGATTTAGTAAAATTACAGGCCTTTTTATCATTTTCGTGCCTCATCCTTTCAGTTCATTGGCGACCATCCACAAAACCCGATCTTTAATATTTTGTAGTTGAAATGTAGTGATTACAGACTAATAAATTCAATTATTAAATAATAAATAGACAGGACAGCAATTAAGTCATTAATTGTTATAAATTAGGTAAAATTCCCGAATTAAAAGAACGGGCGTATTTAGGACGATACCTTGTCAAGGTTGAAATACCGGCTGACTTTCTGAACGACAGTACCATCGGAGATCTTAACGAACAAGTTGAAAATTTTGTCGAAACTTCGTAAACTATTATTATTCATTATTATTAATTACTACTTATATTGCTTTCTTGATTCGTTCTAGAAATATCATCACAGCACACAGACGCCAAACGTCTTAATCATTAAATTAAACAAACAATTTTTATGAAATATTTTTCCAAAAAAAATCTCTTTTTTTTCAAGTATCTCGCTTTGATTGAGACATTCAAGGAGACTCACAAGGAGTTATCGAGTTTGAAAAATAGCGGTTTCAATACGAGCGATATTAAGAAGGACATACTGGCCATGGAAGGGGAGAAGGATCAGCTGTTAAGAAGAGTAGAAAAGTTGAAGAAAAAAGTAAGTAAGATGATGGGGATGATGATGATTAAGATTGATGACGTAAGAGTGAAGAAGAGAATGATGATGAGGATGATGTGGAGAAGATGATTTTGGTTATCGTTTGGTTTCACACGTACGCACACACGCACAAAACACACACGCACACACATACACAACACACACACACAAAGGTTGAATCAACTCCAAACAATGAATCCATCCTTCAAGTTGCACGATCTTTAAGAGAGGAAAATGACAGGGGTGAGAAGATACACCGACAGAAACAGGATCAAAGAAACTTGGTTTCTATAATTTTTTTCATTTTTATCTTGAATAATTTTTTAATTACAACTTTTTAAAATTATTTTTCCATACATTCATTCGTTCGTTCGTTTATACATTCACTCACTCACTCACTCACTCACTCACTCACTCACTCACTCACTCACTCACTCACTCACTCACTCACTCACTCACTCACTCACTCACTCACTCACTCACTCACTCACTCACTCACTCACTCACTCACTCACTCACTCACTCACTCACTCACTCACTCACTCACTCACTCACTCACTCACTCACTCACTCACTCACTCACTCACTCACTCACTCACTCACTCACTCACTCACTCACTCACTCACTCACTCACTTACTCAATCATTGAACAGATCTTACAAATGGATCAGAGGATTCAAAGAATGAACCAGCAGATAAAGGAGACGAGGCAATCCTCCATTGGACTAAACGCACAGAGTGAGTGGTCGAATAGGTGATTGAAAAAACCCAACCTAGCCAATCAAAATCTATCGGCCAAACTCAGCCGACCAAAAATCATCTAGACACCAAATCAATCAATTAATCAATCTACTATCAATTGACATAACTTAATTAATTAATCAATCAATCACTCAATTAATCAATCACTCAATCAATCAATCAACCAATGAATCCAGCCCTAATGAACCGCCTAGAGGAAGAATCGAACACAAACAAATACCTTGTGAATGAACGACTGCCACAGGAAAAAGAGCAGCTGAAGAGAATGACGAACGAACTGCAGAGAATCGCACTTGAGCCTGCCATGGGACAGTCGGATCTCGATGAGATACAGCAACAAGTTAGCTGATCGGTTGTTCATTGATTGGCTGGCTGGCTGGTTGATTAGTTGGTTGGTTGGCTGATTGGTAGCTTTGTTAGTTGGCTGGTTGGATTAGTTTGTGGGTGGCTGATTGGTAGCTTGGTTGGTTTGTTGGTTGGTTGGCTGGCTGTTTGGTTGATCAGTTGATCAGCTAGTTGATTGATTGTTTAGTAGAGTGTTATTAAATTCGGCAAATCATTAATTAAACTTTTGAAATAATGGAGTTGGTTTGAATCTCTTTCGCAAGATCCGCACTGTCAACCTTGAGATCAACAAACTGATTGAGGCGAAGATGAAGACGATGGACGATGGAGAGGGCAAGGCCAGGGGTGGCGAACTTTATAGGCAGCAAGTAAGTTATCTGATTGTTCGTTCAATTTTTTTATTCGTTCAATCATTAACTCTTTCGTTCGTTCGTTTTTCATTTATGTTTTTTAATTCACTTAATTAATTCATTCGTTCATTCATTCATTAACTCATTAATTTCGTTCGTTCGTTCGTTCGTCTAGGCGGCGATAGTTCGGAATAAGAAGGCCTCAACTGCCGAAACTTTGAACGCAGTAAGGAGTGAGATGATGAAACTCGAGCAAGAGTGCAACGATAAAAGAATGAAGTTGAGAGAGATAGGAGGGGGAGGGGATTATCTGCAGGGTGATGAAGTGAGTGAGTGAATGAATGAATGAATGAATGAATGAATGAATGAATGAATGAACGAATTAATGAATGAATCATTCATTTGTACGAACGTACATAGGTCCACCACTTACAGATACATAAATGTTGGTAGTATGAGTTCCTGTTGCAGTATTTATTGCGATCATCACCATCACAATCACCATTACAATCATCATCATCACAATCATCATCATCATCATCACCTCTACCATCATCATCATAACGTCTTCCAGTTCAAGAGATTCGCTACTCAAATGCGAGCGAAGCACACAGCCTACAAAGCCAAAAAGCAGGAACTGAATGAACTGAAGACCGAGTGTGGCCTCCTGATAAGGACCAATGAAATTCTAGATAAACAATCACGTGATATCAATGAACAACTGGTGGGCGGGGCTTGACTTATGAATAAATTTAATGTGGAAATGAATCAATTAGAAATACGATGACAAATAATTCCCGATCAAAATGACGATGCAATTTTTTTTAAATGACGCTGTTGACAATGTCCAACACCAAAATTGGCCTTGAAATTGAAATTCAGCCTCCCTCTCCTAATCTACCCACCCCTCAACCAATCACAGACGACCTACGAGTCCTCGAAAGGGGTCAAAGGTTATCACGAGACCCAGGACGCCCTTGAAAAGGTCAGCAGTCAAAAAGGTCAAATTGACGACGAGAAGGGCAAAACTTTGCAGGACATTTCTATCATGGTTCAGCAGTTGAATAACCAGTCAGTGTGTCTGAGTGCCTGTCTGTGTGTTTGTCTGTCTATCGGTTTGCTTGTATGTTTCTGTGTGTTTGTGCCTTTGTATGAATGCGAGTGCCTTTTAATTTATGCTAATTTATTGCCATTCATCAGCCGACCTCATTAACATATTCGTAATTATTCAAGAATCGACAAAAAGAAGGCGACGCTAGCGCCGATCATCAAGGAACTGAGACCACTTAGGCAGAAGCTGCTGGTACCATTGTCATTATTATTATTATTGTTGTTGTTATTGTTGTTGTTGTTATTATTGTTGTTGTTATTATTGTTGTTGTTGTTGTTGTTGTTGTTATTATTGTTGTTGTTGTTGTTGTTATTATTGTTGTTGTTGTTGTTGTTGTTATTATTTATTGGTGACTTTGTAGGAGTTGTGCCAGGAGCATAAGGAGCTGAAGACGAGATACGACACAATGCAGACGGGCTACGGGTCTAATTGGTCGAATCTGGAGAAGGTTATTATTATTATTATTGTTGTTGTTATTATTATTATTATTATTATTGTTATTATTATTATTGTTGTTATTATTATTGTCATCGTCGTCTTCGTCATCATCACTATCTTGCTTAAGCTTCGCCTGCATAGGACAAATGTTGTCTGCGTTTGTCTATCGTTTCGTTGTGATCATCATCATCATCGTCGTTACCATCATCATCATCATTACCACTATCATCATCATCACCGTCATCATCATCATCATCATCATCACCGACCACACCAGGAAGTGACGTCACACAAAGAAGATATAAACAGCAACGAGTCGAAAATACACTACCTGAAGTTGGTTACAAAATCCATGGAGGCCTTGCTGCAGAGAGCTGAAATTGAGGCCACAAAAAACGGCGTCGCCGGTGGTAATAGTAATAGTTTCGGTGGTAGTGGAAAAGGTGGTGATGATGATGATGGTGGCGTCGATGGTAGTAGTAGTAGTCGAGGTGGTAGATCTTTGAGGTAGGCGTTAGTGATTATAATTTATTGTTCTTTTATTGTTCTTGCTATTATTAATGTTTTTATTATTATTAATAATAGTAGTAGTAGTAGTAGTAGTTGTTGTTGTTGTTGTTGCTGTAGTACTTGTAGTAGTAGTAGCAGTAGTAGCGGTAGCAGCACCAGCAGTAGTAGTAGTAGTAGCAGTAGTAGTTGTAGTAGTTGTAGTAGCAGCAGCAGCAGCAGTAGTAGCAGTGGTAGTAGTGGTAGTAGTAGTAGTATCATTACTATCGTCGCCATCATGACCATTCTTCAGGGAAATATTCAATCGAAACATAATGGAACAAGAAAACTTGAACAAACAGCTGAAGGAGAAGCAAAAAAATTTGAAAGATAACCAGGTATCATTACTATTACCATCATCGTCATCACCATCATCGTCACCAACACCATCATCATTATCATCGTCACCATCATCATCATCATCATTATCATCGTCACCATCATCATCACCTTCTAAAGGAATCTAATGTCAAGCAGGCCAAATCCTGGCGGGATTTGGAAAAATTAATGCAAGCGAAACTGAAACTAATGACGTCCTCTTCCTCCTCCGGTTCAGCGGAAAAACATCCCAGCAATAACGAAATGGAAAGTGGAAAGCACCAGGGCAAGAGTAGCGACAGGCTTGTACTGTAGAGAGAAAAACTAAAAAGGTAATGAGGAAGACGACGATGATAATGAACGATGTAACGTCCGTGATGGCTAATAGTACTGATAACAATTGTTGTTGTTGTTGTTGTTGCGTTGTTGTTGTTGCGTTGTTGTTGTGTTGTTGTTGTTTTGTTGTTGTTTTGTTGTTGTTGTTGTTGTTGTGTTGTTGTTGTGTTGTTGTTGTGTTGTTGTTTACATTAGTAGCCCCCGTAATAAATAACGAAACTTATTATTGTTGTTGCTATTTGGAATATTTTACACAATGGAACGACAAAATCATAACTAATGAAATGATTGGATGGATGAATGAATGAATGAAGACACGAATAAAAGTTTGAAAAATGAAGGATTGAATAAACGAACGAACAAACGAACAAATGGATGAATGAGCACGTATATAAAGCCACAAAAATAAAATTTTCCGAAAAAAAAAATTTCAACCAAAATCCTCAATATCCCGACAACAAAAAACACCCATATAAACATGAAAGGCACTTCCGGTTTAACTCCATAGACTTGAAAATATGTACCGTGTAAATTTTTTATAAAAAATAAAACAAAAAAAAATGAGAAATTGAAATTGAAGGATAATCAGGCAGACAATAAGCACATGTAAGCGCTTGCGAAAATAGAAGCAAACATGATAATGTGATAAACGAGTGTGTTTGTGTACGTGTATGTTGTGTTTTTCTGTGTGTGTGCGTGTGTGAGTTGGTTTACGTGTATGTGTGTTTACGTGTCTCTGTGTGTGTGTGTGTGTGTGTGTTTGTGAGGTGTAGCAGTGGCAGCAGTAGTATTAGTAGTGGCAGTAGTAGTAGTAGTAGTGGTAGTAGTAGTAGTAGTAGTAGTAGTAGTAGTAGTAGTAGTAGTAGCAGTAGTAACAATACTGCATTACATAATTGCTTGTACTTGACCTTACATACCCAACATGGCGCCTTTCCACATCTGCTTGCATAGTAATAATAATAATAATAATAATGATAATAATAATAATAATAATAATAATAATAATAATAACAATAATAACAACAACAACAATAATAATTATAATAACAAATATAATAATAACAATAATAATAACAATTATGAAAGAGATGATTATGCTTATATATATATATCGTATGTGACTTTCAGTATTAACAACGATTCACTTAAATACAAAAATACCATAAGTTGTATGTGTGTCTGTGTGTCTCTTTGTGGGTGTGTGTGTGTGTGTTTGTGCGTCTGTGTGTTTGTGTGTATGTGTCATTAATATATATATATACAAAAAGTTTTTCAAAGGCAAATATTACCATATGATATGATTATTATTATTGTTTTTATTATTATTATTATGATTATTTGCGTGCTTTGCGTGTTAATGCCCAAGATAAATAGGAGGAATAATAATAATAATTATAAAAAAATAGATGAAATTATTATTATTATTATTACCGAAACTTTTCACTGAATAATAATTATGATTAAGTATTTTATCGATCGGTGAAAAAAAGATACACATGTATTCCAGGGTTCGGCAGCTAAACGTTCTCTCTCTCTCTCCTCTCTCTCTCTTTCTCTCTATCTATCTATCTCCCTCTATCTCTATGTGTAGATATATATCTATTTATTTTCCGGTGTCTCTCTCGATCTATGTGTAGATATATATATATATATCTATTTCTCTCTCACTCTCTCTCTCCCTCTTTTTCTCACTTCATTTGCTCATTCATTCATTCATTCATTCATTCATTCATTCATTCATTCATTCATTCATTCATTCATTCATTCATTCATTCATTCATTCATTCATTCATTCATTCATTCATTCATTCATTCATTCATTCATTCATTCATTCATTCATTCATTCATTCATTCATTCATTCATTCATTCATTCATTCATTCATTCATTCATTCATTCATTCATTCATTCATTCATTCATTCATTCATTCATTCATTCATTCATTCATTCATTCATTCATTCATTTATTCATTCCTTCATCTATCCATTCATTCACTTTTTGTTATAATGAACTGTCTTATCAAATCATAACTTTCGGATGCCATCTGAAAACAAATATTTACAACAGAATTATCGAATACACACACACACTTATATATATATATATATATATATATATATATATATATATATATATATATATATATATATATATATATATAATATATACATATAATGAATAGCAATAATTATGATATACCAAAAAAGGTCAATTAAATAGTTAATAAGGCACTTTGATTAGTGGTGTTGTTCAAAATGATGAAAGAAAATATTTGAGAAAGTTATTTGGGTTTGTTTATACAATTTACGTGACCAATAAGAACGGTTTTACGTTGACATTTCAACCAATCAAAACTAAAAACCATTCGGCGGGAGCCAATCAAAACAGCCGAACCGAACTCTATTCTAACTAATAAACCCACCGACAACCAGCCAATCAAATCATTCGAATATTTCTAAATAAGCGGGCAGTGGTAATATTTGTTGTTGTTGACGTTGTTGCTGTGGTTGTAATAATTGTTCTTCTTGTGGCTGTTGTGGCTGATGTGGCTGTTGTGGCTGATGTGGCTGTTGTGGCTGTTGTGACTGTTGTGGCTGATGTGGTTGTTGCTGCTTCAATTCTCGGTAGCTAGCCTCTAGAATAGAATTCACTTTTCCGATGGAGATTCTATCTCGCGGATTCTTCCGCCAGCAGGCGAGCATCAGCCTATAGATTTCATCGGAGCAATTTGCTGGTCTGTTCATCACACGGCCCTGCTGTACTCTATGTATTACCTGTGTGTGTGTGTATGTGTGTGTGTGTGTGTGTGTGTGTGTGTGTACACGAAACGAAACGAAATGACACCAGACAGCAGACAGACAGAAACAGACCTCGATGTTTGAAAATTCATACCACGGCTGGCGGCCGAAGGAATAAACCTCCCAGAGGACCACACCGAAACTCCAGACGTCTGATTCCACTGAGAAGGTCCTGTACAGAATGCTTTCTGGGGGCATCCATCGGACAGGCATCAGAAATTGACTACCCACCTAAAAATGTGTGTGGCGAATGTGTGTGTGTGTGTGTGTGTGAGTGTTATGTAGTATGTGTGGCGTGTGTGTGTGGCGTGTATTTGTGTGGCGTGTGTGTGCTATTTGGTATGTGTGGCGTGTGTGTGTGGTGTGAGTTTGCCTGTGTCGTTGCTTCTGCTGCTTCTGAGTTGTTAGCCCTAATTCGCCCTACATTAGCAATCTTTTTTTTCAACTTCATCTAATTTTTCACGGTCACAATTTTTCATAATTTTATTATTAATTGCAAATATTTTAGACTGGCTAATCATTGATCGCTCATTGGGTTGGATGAGGACGTAGTGGGAGAATGAGAGTTGCAGCTTACTTATGTTTTTCGCCGTACCATCTGTCCGGGGAGTAAAAAATAAAATTGAAAAAAGAAATTAAGAAATATTGATAAGAGAGAGAAAAAGAGAGGAAGAGAGAGAGAGAGAGAAAGAGAGAGAAAGAGAGAAAGAAAGAAAGAAAGAGAGATAGAGAGAAAGAGAAGTAAGTAGAAATATAAATCAAAAGATAAAAAGATAAAACAAAAGCCGAAACGAAAGAGAACGAAAGAGAAACATGTTGAGGAGAAAAATAAAGAGAGAAAGAGAGAGAGAGAGAGAGAGAGAGAGAGATAAAACGAAAGATAAACCAAAACGAAAGAGAAAGAGAGAGAGAGAGAGAGAGAGAAAGTAGTGGCAAAAATGATAAGCAGACAGATGCAAGTTGTTTGATTGGTCGGCTGCTTATATTTGCCTGTCTCATTATCTATACGATTATGTTTCAATTACCGTACATTCGGTCGTTTATAATTATTTATTTATTCATTCATTCATTCATTCGTTCCTTCTTTCAATCCTTCATCAATTTGTTTGTTAGAAAGTTTGTATTTTTTGGATTAACTTTTAAATTTAATCAATCATTTGTATATTGTATTGAGTTACAAAGTATAGCAGCCAACCAAACAACCAAAAAACCAAAAAACCAACCAACCAACCAACCAACCAGCCAACCAAACAACCAAAAAAACAAAAATACAAAAAACCAGCCAACCAACCAACCAACCAAACAACCAAACAACCGACCGACCAACCGACCAACCAACCTTATAATAATCAGTTGCATAGACATCTCGAGACATGCCGAAATCTCCAATCTTAACGACCAGACCGCTGCCAACCAAACAATTCCTGGTTGCCAGGTCTCTATGGACGAAATGTTGTGAGGCCAAATAGGCCACACCTCTTGAAATTTGCGTCGCTATGTTCAACAAATCCAGCTGATTAAGAAGGCGAGAATGGTTGGGTGGCCGAAGAATTAGGGGGGTAAGAAAGGGGGGATGGATAACATGAGGGGAGTTGTTGGTGCTGTCCTTATTTGCGAAATAAAACTCCGAGTGTTGGATATTTGTTGTTAACATTTTTCCCTGCTGCAGCTGATGGCTGTTCAAAAAACTGTCTTGGGTGATGTTGGCGATGTTGTTGGTGGTGTTGGTGCTAAGGGGTAATTTTGGGTAGATGATTTCGGCATCTGGGCCGTTCGTTCTATGAGGAAGTGTGTTTGTTCGAGTGGTGCCTTAGTACAATTAGTCTTGCAATGAAAGTTTGTAAGCCATTTACTTTTTGATTGTTTATGCTTCGTGTTGAATGAAGAAGACTGTTGTCATTCATCACCGTCATCATCATCATCATTACCAACGACAGCACAGTTCAATCATCAACAACTCAATAACCATCATCATCTTCATCAACTTAATCCTCACCACCATAATCATTATCTTCTCCATCGTCAGCATCTTCATCACCTTCATCTTCACCATCACCATCATTAGCAACTTCACCACCATCACCTTAAAAAGTTGTTCAGATCTCCGAGATCCATGTACTCCAACACGATCATGCTAGGCTCGCCATCCATGCATACTCCATGGAATGTTACGATGTTGTCGTGTTTCAGGCCAGACAGCATGAGGGCCTCCCTTTCAAAGTCCCGCCTTTGGAAATGTTTTTGGTGTGTTGTGGTGCTGTTTTTGGTGTGTTGTGGTGCTGTTTTTGGTGTGTTCTAGCGTGTGTGTGTGTGAAGTGTTTTTGTGGTAATTTTGTGGTGTGTTGTAGTGTTTGCAGTGTTTCTTTGAAATGTTTGTCTTGTAGAGTAGAGTGTTTTGTGGTTAAATGTTTTGACGACCAACCAACCACCGACTGATCGACGAACTCACTTATCATCAGCATCCGAACTGCGACCTCCCTTTATGGTTTTTATGGCAACCCTCAAATTGGCCCCGTCGTCAGTGGATCGTAGGGAGCCTAGGTACACTAGTCCGAACGCCCCCTCGCCAAGTTCTTGCAGGCACCCTATATTTTCGCGCGCTATCTTTGGGACGGCTGTTTTTATAATGATGATGATGACGACGACGATGATGATGTAGATGAGGACAAAGATGAAGATGTGTGCAAAGAAACAATTTGAACACAGCTACGCTAACTGAAAAAAATTACAAAAATTTCAGAAAAACCGCAAAAAGCAAAACAACCAACCGGTCAGCCCTATCTGAGCCACTTTGACGCTACCACCTAAACTTCCAGACCCTCTACCCCCTAAACTACCAGACCCTCTACCCCCTAAACTACCAGACCCTCTACCACCACTAGCAGTACTGTCATCATCTTTGGCATAGTTCGGATTCTCAACCACATGTTCAGTACTTAGTGGGATTGTCTCCCTAGCGACCGGCCTATCACGACTGCTGATGCACAAACCGGCCAATGGGCTGCGACTAACACGATTCATGCAGCGCTTGCTTTTCTCGTTAGCACCGCTCGCCTGCAAATTTGACGGTGGAGATAAGTGGCAAAGTTTGATTGACTTTTTATGGCCACCAGTTGGAAGTTTGTAGATTTTGCCCTTGTGCTTTCTTGTTATGGTCTCTTGACTGTTGTGAGAACCATTGTAGGAGAGTTCTTGGGAGGAGAGAGTTGATGATGGTGGTGGGTAGTTGTTGTTGTTGTTGCAGCTGCTGTTGCTGATGTGGTAGCTGTGGTGCTGCTGCTTCTTTAGTGGCTTGTGCTGCCTCTTTTTGACAAAAAAGATGAGTAGGATGGTGATGAGGAGAGTGATAGAGAGGATGGTGACCAAACAGATGAGGAACTTCGTGATGCCGGAAGTACCTCGAAACTTCTTGTGATGATGATAATGATGATCACTATGATGATGATGAGGATAGTGATGATGATAATAGTGATGATGATGAAGTGATGATGATGATGATGGGATGACGATGATGACTTTTACTAACTCCACTGTCCGTCAACGAGTGAGCCTCTAAACCCTCGTTTATGTCGAGTTCACTCAGCCAATCTTTATCACTATCAACTAAAAAATTATGATTATAATTAATGATATTATTATCGTCATAATTATAATTATTATCATTGAAGGTATAATTTTGTCATCACAAATCATATGAAGGAGGAAGGAAGAAGTCAATCAATAATGGAATCGATCGTCAAACAATTTTAACGAAAGATTCGCTTAATTTGTGAAATATATTTATAGCCTAATAATAATAACAATAATAACAATAATAATAATAATAACAATAATAATGATAATAACAGCAATAATACTAACACGGGTTGTTGATGACGTCAACGTAGACCTGCTTAGAATCGCAGCCAATCAGGTTGCAGGCCGTCAAAGTGTAGTTGCCATTGTAGAGGTGTGACGGCATTTTTATGTGGAGACTTCCGGTCAACTTGTAGGATGACGTCACTTCAGACGGGTAAGTTTTGTGGATTATATCTGTGCGACGATAATGACGACGACCATGATAATGATAACGATGATGATGGATGGTGATGATGATGACAATGATGATTATGGTGATGTTGATTGTGGTGATGATGACTATGGTGATGATGATTATGGTGATGATGACTATGGTGATGATGATTGTGGTGAGGATGATTATGGTGATGATGATGACGACGATGATGATAATAAACTTGCAGATGATTGTTTAGCGATTAGAAGCATTTGTTATTGATCAACACGAGCAATGTTCTTCAGTCGGTTAATTAATATTATTATAACACACTCATTCATTCGTTTGTTGGTTCATTCGTTCATTTATTCATTCATTCATTCATTCAATCAATCATTCATTCGCGCACTCACTCAATCATTCTATCTGTCAAATGTTTTTGTTATAAATTTAATCCTTCTGTCAGTCATTCTGTCAAAATTTATTATTTCTTCAACATTTCATACGTTATTTATCCATACTAAGTATAATAATTCATTCATTCACTCGCTCGCTCATTCATCCACACATTTACGCACAGATCTACTCATTTGTTTATTCATTCATTCATTCCATTCATTCATTCAATCCTTCATTCATTCATTCATTCATTCATTCATTCATTCATTCATTCATTCATCCACCCATTTATTCAACCATTCATCCATCCATCCATTCATTCATTCATTCACTCACCATCATTATCAAGAGTGAGATTAAGTCCATTCCTAGTCCAGCGAATGCTGACCTCTGGATGTCCGAACACCACATACTTCAGGAACCACTGCGGGTGGTGGTTGACCGCCGTCAGCTTTCTCACCACCGGAACTCCTGATAACAATGATGAAGGCGGTCGTGATGATGATGATGACAATGATGGTTTTGATGATGATGACGATCATGAAGCTGGTTGTGATGATGATGATGACATTGTAGTGAGGAAAAACGAACTACAAACATATCAATGCCAATTATTCGGTAGAATTTATGGAATATTGTAAAAATTATGGTCATTAACCAACATTCATATATATATATATATATATATATATATATATATATATATATATATATATATATATTTATATATATATATGTGATGATGATGACGATTATGAAGAAGGTTGTGATGATGAAGATGATGACGACGACGATGACGAAGATGAAGATGATGAAAAATCGCTGAAATATGTGTATATATATATCTACTATATCTATTATATGCTATTGCAACAGAAAAAAGCCGAAAATCCGAAAATAAACTCTACTTAAAAAAAAATTAAGTGAATTTAATAAATCAATAAAATAATTTTTAAACAAATAAATAAACAAATGTTTATTTATATTTATAATAATCTTTCATCCGCTTTTTTCCTGTTAAGCCATCTATCATTGATGGATCGTTTGTTTGCGCGATCATATATTCATTTAATTAATTAATTAATTCAATCATTCAATCATTCATTCATTAATTAATTAATTCATTCATTCATTCATTCATTCATTCATTCATTCATTCATTCATTCATTTATTCATTTATTCGTTTATTCATTTATTCATTTATTCATTTATTCATTTATTCATTTATTCATTTATTCATTTATTCATTTATTCATTTATTCATTTATTCATTTATTCATTTATTCATTTATTCATTTATTCATTTATTCATTTATTCATTTATTCATTTATTCATTTATTCATTTATTCATTTATTCATTTATTCATTTATTCATTCATTCGTTCGTTCGTTCGTTCGTTCATTCATTCATTCACCCGTAAGTTCAATTCTTTTTGTTTTAAATCATTCAATCAATTATTACTACGGTGGCCAAAGCCACTACTACTTTTGCTGCTGCAACAGCTGCTTTCACCGTTGTTTATTTAGCCGCAAACTGACCTTGAACTATGACATTCCAGGTCAGTTCACCTTGACCTACTTCATTCTCTGACCTACATTCGTACTGGCCACTTGAAAGAGCGTTCACTCGTTCGATCGTCATCTCAACCGTCGATCTGGTGATTGTGATGATGATGATGATGAAAATGATGACGATGATGATGATCATGATGTTGTTGTTGATGATGATAATGATGATGATGGTGGATGTAAATTTATGCTCTTGAAGTGAAGGGAAATTATTATGATATCAATGAAATCAATAGGATGATGATGATGATGAAGACGATGATGATGATGATGATGATGGTGGTGATGACGATGATGGTGACGATGGTGATGATGATAATGATGACAATAGCAACAACTGTTTCTGTTGCTGCTGTTAATACTGTCATAGAACCTATTTATAGAAATCAGGCTGAGCTCTGATTGGTCGACGTCTTCCGGAAGTATCCAATAAGCGATGACGTCACGATCAGCTGACGGTTGACCGCTGCATATTAAACTGATTTTCGCGCCACTGTTAACGGTCAAGGTCGTTTGTTGTTGTTGGGGGTGTTGGGGGTGGGGGTGGGGGTGGGGGTGGTGGGCTTCAATTGCTGATGTGTTTGTCAGGTTTGTGGCGGGAAATATTTCAGCAGTCGGAAGATCTATGGATTATGATGATGATGATAATAATGATGATGATGATTATGATGATGATAATGACGACAAAGACGATGATGATGGTGGTGATGATTATGATAACGATAATGATGATGATGGTGATTGAGTTGTTGATGACGAAGCTGCTAACTAATGTTGATAATGATGATGGTGATGATGATGATGATGCTGATGATAATGCTGATGATGATGATGATGATGACTAGGGCATGAATCATAACAAAGGATCTCAGCGACTGTAGTTCTAACTATTAAACTTTAACTCGAATTGAAACTGATAATTATGACTATAATGGTAATAATAATAATATAATAATAATATAATAATAATAATTATAATAATAATTATAATTATTATATGATAATAATAATTATAATTATTAGAAATACTAACAGCAATAATCGAATCCGCTGAATTCATCGAGGGGTATGTTTATCTTCTGCACAGGGTCAAAACACATCAGACCGCTGAGTACATCATCATCATCACCACCACCACCACCACCCTCATCATCACCACCATCATCATCACCACCACCGTCATCATCATCATCATCATGATCTTTGTTGTGAACCCTATTCAGAACCCCGCTGCTTATAATATTCATATCATCTTTATAGTCATCTCTGCTGCTGTTCATGGCAGATTTCGTGATGTTATTATCATCATTAAAAACAATATCATTATCAATATTATTATTATTATTATTGTTGTTGTTGTTGTTATTGTTGTTGTTGTTGTTATCATCATCATCACCACCGTCATAGCCATCCTGATAGTCGTCGTTAATGTGCGAATAGGCAATGATAAAGTTGACCGAGCAGTTGCATGTTAGCTGGTTGCCGCGGAGATTTCTGATTGGTCGATTGGATGAATTCATTCATTTATTCATTCATTCATTCGTTTATTCATTCGTTCGTTCATTCATTCATTCATTCATTCTTACAGGTAACTATTTGTTGGTACATCGCGAAATGTCCGCCAAGAAACCGTTTTCAACTTGTTAGACTCCAGA